GCAGCGAATAGATTGGGGGCAGGGCCAAATAAAAGGTAAGAATAACACGGGGGGAGGCAGCTCCTGAACAAAGAGAACCGGTTCCGTGACATCATATCGTCACCTCTACCGGCTCGGCCAAATCGGGCCGAACCGAGAGGAACCCAGCACTGTATCAGAGACTTTTTAGTCACTCTTTGTACAGGTAGTTCTCGACTTAAAACAGTTTGTTTAATGACTGTTTGAAGTTACAATGGCACTGAAAAAAATGTCTTATGACCATTTTTCACACTTACATCCATTGCAGCATCTCCATGATCATGTGATCAAAATTTGGATGCTTGGCAATTGACTCATATTTATGATGGTTGCCATGTCACGGGTCATTTTGTGACCTTCTGATAAGCAAAGTAAATGGGGAAGCCAGATTCACTTGAAAACCGTGTTTCTAACTTAAAACTGCAGTGATTCGCTTAGCAACTCTGGCAAGATAGGTTGTAAAATGGGGCAAAATTCAGTTAACCACTCTCTCACTTAGCAACAGAAATTTTGAGCTGAATTATGGTTGTAAGTCAAAGACTACCTGTATATGGGCTGTTCATACATACTGCTCACCTTATCAATAGATTTTCTTTTATAGACTTTTCAGACTCGTTCTGTTGTGATTGTTGATGTAAGCTATGACTACAACGTTGTCTCTCTGAAGCAATATGGGCCACCCATTCAGTTTGCACTACTATTAATCTTCTCATCGTTCCCACCATCCATCTCCTTCCACTTATGACTGTATGACTGTAATTTTGTTGCTTGTATATTTACGATTTATATTGATATTGTTTCCGGATTGCTTATTATTTACCCTATGACTATCGTTAAGTGTTGTACCTTAAGATTCTTGACGAATGTATCTTTTCTTTTATGTACACTGAGAGCATATGCACCAAGACAAATTCCAATCACACTTGGCCAATAAAAAAAATTCTAATTCTAATTCTATTCTAATTCTAATTTCAGTTGTTAAAGAATGATTGTCAAAAATGTGTGATTTTTTTGAAAAAGCAGTATTTTCCACTAATCAAAAGATTAGTGTATCAATATATTCAAAGATTTTGTGATTGTTTTCAATAATATTTTACTCATAATATTATAGTAGTATTGTATATTTATTAATAAACTAATGATTTTTGTTAAGGACAAAGTATCAACCAGATTTTTCCTTTCCTAGTTTTTTAGTTCTTGTTTATTTATTTGTTTGTTTGTTTATTTATTTGTTTATTTGTTTATTTATTTATTTTTGTTTATTTCAATATAAATTCAGTTTATTATGTTCCTAGAACAGTGTAAGTAGAATGCCCTGTGAATCAACACATACGCACAGACACAATCTTAATAGATAATAAACAAATTAAAGTTTAAGAGAGAAAGCTTTCCGATGGCTGGGTGTTTCAGTTGTATACTGGTGACAGATCTGCTTGCTGCTCTGTATCTTTTATCTTTTGCTTCAGGGTTTGTTTCACCTGATTGTATTTCATCTTAAGAATTGAGGAGGGAAAGTAGTTTGAAATATAGTTTGCTTCTGCCTTACATATGTATCTTTATGTAATTGTGGCTTGATATTTTTAGACTTTTTATATATCTTCTTCTCTAATGATAGCCATAATAATTTTATATTAACTTGCTTCATTTTTTACAAGGAAAGCTTTGATTATAAGAATAAAGGAATCCAGTTAGTTTCCAACTTCACCATCTGCATCTGAAAAAAAAACCCATACATTCATTCAGCTGGTTATTATTTTAGTATCTTTTTTTGTGGTGTGTGAGCTTTTTCTTTGTGACTATAATTAGTACCCAAATGAGATGAAATTACTTTTAGATTCCTTTTTAATAGAATGTTAATTATTCACACAGATACTGGAAATGAATTAATTCAAAGCTAAATATAATTTGTCATGAACTATATGGCATTACGTGTTTCTCCACTCTATCCTGTTTCCTAGATCATGTCAAATGTTGGACAATAGAGAATTTCTCAGCCTTTGGAAACTTGAATCTATTATTTAAATGGTTTCTACCTGGGAACAAATTCAACATATTGTAATTAAAAATGATCCTTGATTACTTAAAAGCAAGATAGATGAACAATACAGTAGAAAGCTTGCTTTTTAACTGTCCTGCAGTACACAATATCATTTTAATTAAAATGTAGCATTCACCTTTCCATTTTGTCTTGCATTGCTACATTGGCTTACAGTCATAAGAACATCTGGAGTGCAGTGATGTGGCTTATTTCTTCCATCTTTTTTCTGTGTCACAAAGCCATCCTTTTGCATTCAGAAGTGGTAGAATAATGCTGCATCTCTTGAAGGATCATAACTTGGAAGCAATTTAATCCACAGTAGGTTTTAATCATATAAGAAATGTTTGTTTTGAAAAATGTGCTAGAAAAATACCTTAAATTAGGGACAAGAATGACTGGACAGATGCAGTGAAGTATCTTTATCGGTACATAGAACTATGGTGATTATAAAAACCTGCAAAAGCCAAGATTACTGTCAGGCCCCAAGAACCAAGAAAGACACATTTATTTCCAAGCAATTTCCTTTATCATTCTTCATCTATAGACAGAAATCTTGCCAAACTAAAGCAACTACTTGCACTATCAAAGATATACTCTGAGAATTGCTAGGAAGGAATCATCATAAATCTCTTTCTCCCAACCAAATTATCTAAACTTCACTGTCTCTTGGTCCTCTGGAATCAGCCCCTCTCTCCTGGGAATCCAGGCTACATTCCACCACAGTTCAGGATATATACATTTGGTTATATTAAAAGAAAACTTTGCATGTTATAGCACAGTCTTTGGGGAAAATCTTCATGATTATTCTGATAATATATTGAGAGATTATTTCAGATGAGGGAAATGGTGGTTTAATCACCTTTCAATGGAGAAGAAATTACAGCTTGTTTTGCCAGAAATTGACCTGGGGGGGGGTGGATTTCCATCAAGTTCACAGATATAGCATAAAAACCCCAGAGTTTGGGGGTTTAATGAACAAATGCCCCTTTCTGTAGTTCAGACTAAGATAACATTAGATGGGGGGAGGAATACATTCAGATTGCAAGATTCTATTACAGTAACACTGGCGAATATGCCATTGATTTCTTAGTTTGGCCTATCTGATAGGGCCAAAGAAATCTATGCAAGATATCCCAAGAAACAATATACATTGGATCTATCCTTCAAAGTAGTGGAACTGGTACGTCAAGGCTTTTCCAAGGTTTTCTGGCAGGTATTTGCCTGCATGGAAGATACTTTTGTCCGGAGATAGTTTAAATAGGCCTGTTATTTACCCACAGAAGAAATTGACTGTGCATTTTATATTTAGCACACATTTAAAAGGTTTCCAGTTTTCCATCTGAAGGTTGCATCCAGAACCTGCTCCATCAGGAGGATGCTTTTTCCTTGAAACTTGTTTACGTGCCAGGTCATGCCACTCCTGAGCAGCATCTTAATGATTATGAAAAGGTTCTTGGTACTGGTTATGATGTGTGCTTTTATAGGTCGATTGCACTATCAGCATCTTTGTAGAACACTATCATTTTTGCATTACTAAGGTTGTGGGTAGAATTTCAGACTCAGGAACAGTAAAGGTCGGTACAATGTGGGCTGTGTCCTGATTTGATGTCAACTGTGGGCAAATAGCACTGTGTGTGTCTCCTGACTACAAACTACCCACTCACACAAGCATGGCAGCAAATTACTCTTAGGAAAATGGTGAATTGCCTGCTTATAAGAAGATGTCAGTGCAGCTGGCAGCACTTAGGTTTCTCTGTTTTAGAGAGCCTGCATTTGGACCTAGTTTAATGTTAATGTTTTCACAAATAAGTTGGCAACATTTGTTTCATCCAGCAAAATCTTTCAGTACTTCTCAGACCTCAAGCAGCATACTAATTATTGTTGCCTATCCTGTATGCTGCATCCCAAGCAATCAACAAGTGAAATATTTGCAGAGGTAGCATTCTTGTTCTTAAATAACAAAGCAGTTCTGGAAATTGGAAAAGAATTGAGAAAAACATGGGGAATAATCTTCTGCCAGTTTCTGTTTGGACATTGAAACCCATTCCCATTCCCATGTACAAGTAGTCTTCATTCACAAATATAATGGTAATAATATTATTTTCCAACCAATACAGTGTTTAGCACAATAAAAGCCTTCAGTTTGAAACTGATTAAGGTTTGGTCAGTTTCAGGTAGCAGTTGCCAGCTGACCAGAAGGTTCTAATCAATTAAAGCAGGGAAGTGAACTTGTTAACTTGCATTGGCATTTTAGGGACATACTAAGCTCTGAAGAAAAATCAGTGCAGGAAAAGATAACTTGCTTGCACAATCTCTCACTCTTTGAGAAGGCAAATAAAAAGTTGAGCTAGGTAGTTGCAAGAACTGCAGGAAATGTTATTTCAGATCATTTGTTCTTGCTCATTCTTGCTATTTGTAATAATACTTCTTTTTTTCAAAGAAATACCAATACTTTAAGAGTGGAATATTAGGAGAGATGGTAGATGGGATAAGTTCATGGAATTTTTGAAAGAAAGCTCTAGTGAAATTAGTGTGAATGTTCTCTCGAGTGGCGTGTGCACAGCCTTCCACAAAAATAATTCTTCCTTTCCCTTTCCTATTAACATTAGTGATATAATTTTCATTTATTCAAAAAATGACCAATTGTACAGTGCAGTACCTCTATACACAAGTAATGTGTCTTGGGCCAAAGGAATTGTTTAAGAACTCTACATATTACAGTGAATTTAAATACTAAATATACCTGCCCCTGCTTAGTTTTTTTTAAAAAACAAACATTCAAGATAACTGGATGTTGTCATCTGAACTTAGACCAAGAAAGTAACTGATTGTGTATTTTGTTCTCGTTTGTCTTATTCCAGCAAAGATTTAGAAAAAAATGAGGCATATATGAATTTTAATACAGTAGCAGCTTACTAATTCTTTCTTTCTTTCTTTTTTATAGTAATTCAAAACACCTTGGTATACTTCAGCAGTAAAGGCACCACTTTGCCTTCTTGGAGGAAACTGAGGACATAGAATCTTAGCCAAATATTCAACATGGTAATTCAAAGGTATCTCCTAACCTATATGGTCGTGGTGCTCGCTTCATATCTTCATAACCTCATCAGAGCCATTGAAGTCCCACGGGATCGTAAGTTCACTGATTTATATTTTATCAATTCATCTTCATCAAGCTTCTCAGGCATGCTATCATGAATAACCTAGCAAAGAAGAGCAGTGATCTTGAGAAGAGTTGAAATCATAATCATTTACCATTAAGTAGGCAGTCAATAGGATTTCAATATAAATGAACCCAATTTATAAAGATAACTTAGGGATACTCTTAGTATACTGCTGCACCATTGCCTAGATGTCTTTCTTCCTCGAGGAATAGTGTAGTTCAAGGTATAGTGTTAATTACCTCAAATAAAATAATTTGGGAGATTTAGAAATCGCATCAAGCCATTCTGATTAAAAGCATTCAGAGTTTCATGGAATCCATACATCACTTGACTTGTCTTAGTTCTGATCTAACTCAGCACATATAATGAAGCATACTCTTGCTTTGTTTTTTACTTGTCAAGATGAAGGTGACCAGCAGTTATGAGTATTCAAAAGAATTCAGTTCCATCTTTAGAATGATACCAAACAGGGCTTTGAGATATAGCTTCTTTTGAGGAAGAAAATACAATATTTTAAAGATTTCACCCCTCAGAAACCAACGCAGTCTAGAATATTATCAGAAAGCCTAGTACATATTTCTCCTTCGAGCTGGAGGATAAGGCTTATCCTTTAGCTAGGGGGTCCTGGAAATTAGGGTCAGCATCAGAATCATCTGCTGCATTCTAAAAAGTACAAATGCTGAAGTTCATAAGAAACTTCAACTATAAATATACTTTCTGAGGTATGTTAAAGTGACACCATCCATACATGCTGAGGGTGAGACTTGTATTAAAAATTGTATGACTTCATTAGTCCTGTATTGACTTCTGGCAGATTTTAATTTTGCCTTTCTTTTCTTAATTGCCCCTAGGTTATTTATAAACAAGATGTGAACACGATAAACTATGTGTAATAAATTACACTATGTTGGGTTGAGAATGATAGTTGTGGAATGTGCCACTCCTTTTCTGACTTCTGTCTTTTGTGTGTGGTAATAGAATAACTATAGTGTTAGTTGCAGTAGGTTTTTGTAGTGTCTGAGCTTGATTGATAGAAATTCTTACCAGAAACCATTTCTCTACCTAGAATCAGGCTGTCTTCTTGGGGTGTTCTTGTGAAGAAGACTAAGGACAAGAGATGTTATTTCTCAGTGACAGCTCCTGTGTGATGGAACAACCTTTCTCTAGTAGTTAGATTAACCCCTTTTCCTTTATCTTACAAAGATAAAAACTAATACAATCTAAAAAAAAGAAAAGTAAAATTAAAAAGTGCAGAAAAGAAAAAAAGAAAAAATAAAGTTGTAAAAGAAAAAGAAACTAATTTATAAATAAATGATTCCCCTTCTCAAGTATAAACAATTATAGTAACCTATCACTTTTTCTTCAGATACAATAAATGAGCTCTTCTTCCCATATTCTATGTGTTATCTTGATATTTCAGTTCCAATCAGCATGTTAGTTAAGGATTATCACCGATAACAACAAAGTTATGTTTAACCCTCAGCAAGTAAACCAATTTTAAATTTCTTCCTTTTACTTTTAACAACCTTGATCTTTAATCCCTCCAAATAATGTCTTAGAATTTGATTTAATTTTTTCTTTGTCTCGCAAAAGTTTTCAAACTTTTAAGAAGCCTCTTTTGTAAATTCAGTACAGGAAAATTATCCTGGACACTGTCTTGGTTTGTTGTTTGTATTATTAAGACATCAGCCAGTTTCTTTTTTATAACTTGAGCAGCATCTTTTTCCATATCATTCTTGTAGCCTGTTATTTTTAAATCCACTTTCAAAACAGTGGCAATCTTGTTAGGTAAAACTTGTATTATTTTGCTAAGGATTGAAAGAAACTCACCAAGTACTATAAAACCTGTCAATCCCAAAGGTTCCTGATAGCTGGAAAGCAACTAACAAGCAATTTCTGAAAGTGATTAGAAAAGGAAGTATGTGACCCCATGCCCTTTAAAAGATAGGAAACATGGTTTGAGCAAACATCGCTATGCACTCATTTCCCAGAGCTCTAAACCCACTAGAGAGTACTATCTTCTGGTCTCCTCATGAGAAGCTACTGTATGGAGCACTTGTGGGCAATTTCTTCTCCTTATCCAGTAAGGAATTATGAAGAGTGGCTTTTCCTTCGACCACAATTGTTGGCTTCACTTTTTATTTAGTTGACCATTTCTTACCTGGAAGTCCCAAATAAACCTTTTACCCCAAATTAACTCATTCCAAAAACCCTTATTTTGAGGGCTGTGCAATGCTTCCACTTCAGTGCTGCAGGAACTGGCAAGCAGACAAGGCTATTTCAATGAAATACCAACAGATGCTACAATGTTTTAATTGTACATGTATAATTGCACATTAATTGCACATTATTTATTATAATGATAAGAAATAGGTAACATTTGTGCATAGAAGTGCCACAGTTGTAGCACTGAAATGGCACAGAGTATTGGAAAGAATTAACTGTTGAAATGCACTGTAATATGGAAAAATTACTACTAAATAATAACTGCAGAGTCAATAACTGGGACTTCTTCCTCTGTCCCAGTTATTGCAAACGCTATACTTCAGCAGTATTAGTTTTCAAAGTTTTATACTTTAAACTTCTTTTTACTACAATAAATGTCAGAAGGCAAAATGCTCATACATGCTGCCAGCTTTGTAACCACCTAAGTTAATTGAAGCCTCTGTATAACAACTGCATATAGGCTAACAAGTTTAATTCATTAGGATGAAGTTTCTTTAGTTTTATTTTTCTCAGTGGGATTTACTCTCCATTGAGAAAGAGTAGGATGCTCTGCAATACAATTCTAAACATGTTCATTCAGAGGTAGGTCTCTCTGTGATTAACAGACACACTTCTTAAGAAATGAGTTTACTTTGCAGCCTTGGATTCTGGTCAGATGCACTGGACAATGTGGCCCTCTAAAATATTGACACTCCCATGGACTAATTTCATTATATCAGCCATCGATAATGTACATTGTAAAATGTAAACTCCCTATAATTACATTTCATGCAGACCTCAACCTAGTTTCAGGCAATGAGGTAGGAAGGCATTGAAAAGATGGAGAAGGCAGTGGCAAATACAGAGGAAAAAATGGTAAACTGGAAGAATGAAGTAAAATATTGTTGAATCAGAGAGATGGGAGTGGTGTAAAAAGAAAAGAAGTATCCTCAGACCCTTTTGGTTTTAGTCCCAGCCATTTTTTGACTCTAGACCCAAACATGCAAGCATCTATACAATACATTTCTTTCTTTCTTTCTTTCTTTCTTTCTTTCTTTCTTTCTTTCTTTCTGCTGATTTATATAGATTCCCATTTCAATAATGTGGGTGTGGGTGGCTAAAACAATTAAAGTACAATATAAATATATGCTGTATAAAAAATTTGAAAGCGACTATTTCCAACCAACAGTCAAAACACATTCAGCAATAGTGGGGGATCAAATATTCCCCAGGCCCTTGTCCCTGGGAAAAGAGCCAGGTCTTCAAATCTTTGCAAAATGTGCAGTATGGTGTCTAGAGGCAGGCATGGTTATAGACCTCCTGGGTCCTGCCATATGATAATTCCTAATAAATAGGACCCGGCATGCCTCTCTTGCCCAACTTGATGGACAGATATGAAAAAGTAGAATGAGCCAATCCCTCAAAAAGTCTGGCATCTCTGAAGAAATATGATCCTCCACAAGAAAAAAAAATGCTTTCCTGGACACGTATATAATTCTGGTTTTATTTATGAGAAAAAGATGCATTTACTTTTATTGGTTTTACTTAAAGATTAAGTATTTTCTGTTCTTTGTTCTGCCATCCAGTAGGAAGCTTTTTGCTAAATCACTAATCACTAAAATTCTACTGAATTAATGTTGTTTAATCCATAGAGTCTATATAGGAGATCTTCTCTGATGATCAAGAAAGGCTCATTAATTTGTTTTCTTTTGAGTGGTAACTGTCATTAAGAAACATGAGAAAAATAACACTAGTTTATTATTGAAAAAACAAATCCAAAATTACTTATGGCTTGTTTCTCATTAGTCGTGTCTTTTTTCAGGATTCCTTATTTATTGAAGAGAGAGGAAGGATGCTTATTTTAATTGATAACATTGTTTTTTTCATGATTTCAGTTGCATATTTTAAGTATGTAAGTAAAGTATGTAAGTACTTAAGAAAGTAAGTAAATTTACTTTCCTTTGGAACTTTGCTAATGTGTAGAAGATATTCTTTTATATTTAGAGCCGAGGTGGTGCAGTGGTTAGAGTGCAGTACTGCAGGCTACTTCAGCTAGCTGCAGTTCAGTAGATCAAATCTCACTGGCTCAAGGTTGACTCAGCCTTCCATCCTTCCGAGGTGGGTAAAATGAGGACCCAGATTGTTGGGGGCAATATGCTGACTTTGTAAACCGCTTAGAGAGGGCTGTAAAAGCACTATGAAGCGGTATATAAGTCTACATGCTATTGCTATATTAAAAAAAATAGTATCTTCTAATGGAATAAGTAAGACTCCTTAGAATCTGATCCCAGATTGAGAAAAACTAAGTAACATAAAAGGCATTATTGTTTGCATTATGTTCATATAAATTGCAAATATGCCATGGGACATCCCCTTCATCATAAGGACATTTATTCATCAAGTTTATTTCATATTGATGTGCTGATTTTATTAATATAAATGTATCTAACATTTTTTTTTTAAAAAAAACACCTCATAAAGTGATATAAATCAAGTTTTTAATAAGCTACTGCTTGCATGCATATTTCTCTTTTTTTCAGATTTTCACTGCTCATTGAATTTGTTCAGGATTTTGTTCATGAGCTTAGCTCTCAGGCAACATGTGATTCCATTAAAAGCACCACTTTTATTTATCCAGAGTCTTCATGAGGCAGTGATGTTTTGTTTAGAGCAGCATGTTTTATGCTTGTGATGGATAGTGTCATCAGCAATCATTTCTCAAGACTAGGTTTAGAGGTAGTCTTCAACTCGCCAACCTTCATTTAATGACTGTTCAAAGTTATGATAATGCTGAAAAAATGTTTAGTGATGGATTTTATAATTAAATATGATCTGGCAAATAATTAAATATTTTACCATCAACTCATTTATTATGCCAGCTGTGACGATAGACTGAATTAGCCTCCTGGGTGTGGAGGGGAAATTCATGCTAGTCCCTTTATCCCCTACGTGTATAAAAGTCTGCAGGATGTTTCTGGAGGTTCCTGGCAACTCTCGATAAGAAGTTCTCCAAACAATCCTAAATCTGCACTGCATGTTGGACAGAGTGTCTAAACATTGGAAGTTATTTTATCATCCTGGCGCATAACATGATAGCCAACTAATTATGCGGTTGAATAATAGCCTAGCAGAAAAATACTTGAAATAGTTTAAAGTGGCCAAGATTTAAAGTATACAATATTCACTTGAAGACAGCGGGTGCGTGCTCCCTTAACATGATATGGCCCCCTGCTCCCGCTCCATCTGTGATGGTGAACCTATGGCATGCGTGCCACAAGTGGTACGTGGAGCCCTCTCTGTGGGCATGCGAGCCGTTGCCCAGCTCAGCTCCACTGCACATGCACACGCGTCTCCGGCTGGCCAGCTGATTTTCTGGTCTCTGCAGCGGGGGGCGGGGTGCATGCGGGAGATGCACGCACATGTGTGAGGGGCAGGGAGGAACTCAGGGGAGCAGTCCTCCCCTCCACGCCAAAGGGGAGAGCCAAGGGCAACCATAGCGCTCCATCCCACTATATCTCAGCTTGCCTGTGGCCATGCCAAACAAGCACCCGCAGAGGGCATCAGGATTGCCTGCCTCCCCCATGCTTCTGCCTTGACCTGCTGCCAGTGCCTACAAGCAGAATCCCCGCATCCAGAAAAAGACGAGTGTAAGTCATGCTGCCAGCTGTGCATGGTTTGCTCCATTGCCCGGCTAGGAAGGAAGAGGACGGAGCCGTGCACAATGCCCACAAAACCTTTCTCACTCCTGCTGGGTTAACACACAGCTCCTTGCCTTCACTCTTGCTCCCCCTTGCTCCTCCCCGCTCACAGAGCCCTCAACACCTCCACCTGGCCTTCTTTTGACTCATTGGCTCCGCTGCAGCCAGAAAGGAGGTTGTGCTTCACTTTCAGCGCACGGTGCTCTCCAAGCACAGCTGTACTTGAGGGGTGTAGCAGGCAGCGCCTCCCCCAGCCAAGCTTGAGCGCCAGGCAAGCTGACCCTCCAACTCCCAGAGCCAGCAGAAGCAGCACATTTCAGTTCCTCAGAAGCGGGATTTTTGGGACATGGAAGGATTCTGAGGAGCTTCCTCGTCTTCTGCACAGAGAGCTTATTACTGGTAGTGAGAGCTTACGGAGGGCGGAGGAACACGGGCCAGTTTCCTTTTCATGGCAACCAGTTTAAGAGCACTTGGTGTGGAAGAAGAGAGAGAGAAAACCTCTCAATTCCTGTGCATGTCTTTTCACTTTTCACTAAGTTTAAGTGTGTGTGTGTGTGTGTGTGTGTGTGTGTGTGTGTGTGTGTGTAGTGGAGCTCTTCCTGAGTCTTCTCATTGCCCTGAAAATACAAAGTGACCGCCGTATCTCTTCTCGGAAAGAGCTCTGCTCCCCACCACACACAGAGATACACACGTTTAAACTTAGTGAAAAGTGAAAAGACATGCACAGGAATCAAGGAATCAACAAAAAGGTTAACCATCACTGTCCTAGATTCTTGTTTAAGGAGTAGGTAGCAACCATAACTAGGAGGGCTTTGCTCAACTTGGTGTCGTGCATGAGTTAGGCCCCTTCCTGGCTCAGGAGGCCTTCTCTCAGTCATTTCTGCCCTGGTCATCTGCTTTATGAACTATTACAATGCACTGTACACAGGGATATCTCTGAAGAGTACAGCTGGTACAGAATATAGCTGTATGAACAATTTTGGGTGTCTCAAGAGTGGCACATGTAATACCTTTGCTGTGTGGCCTGCATTGGATGCCAGTTTTCTTTCAGTTGATATTACCTTTAAAGCGCTACATCACATGGGTTCAAGTTACCTGAGGAACCATCTTACCCCTATATCAACCTGTCCACCTGGTCAAGCAGGGAAGGTATGTTATGGGCCCTGTCAGTTAAAGAATTTCAACTGACATGGTTCAGGAAGAGAGCCCTCTGTACTATTGCCGTTGCATTCTGGAATATTCTCCTCCCAGAAGTGAGGTGGGCTCCCACTCTTCTGATCTTTCAGTGTGAAGACCTGACTTTACCAACTGATATGGGCTCCCCGAGTGATGTGCAGTCCTGGGGATTGTTAAGACCTTGAAGGCAAACCCCCCCCCCTCACCCTTTAACTTATTCTATCTTTGTTTCTTACTTGGCTCCCATTTTACTGATGTATTGTATTTTTACTATGGTTTTTATACTTTTAGCTGTAAACTGCCCAGGGCCATTCTGAAAGTGAGATGGATGGTATCTAAACCTGATAAATAAAAATATAAATAAATAAATTGATGCATCGCATATATTAAGAAAAAAAAGTAGCCAATAAATTCTGAATTTAACCATTAATTGTGAAGACCTGAATCCTAAATAGTGACAAAAAATTGCTTTGATTCAATTTCAAAATATACTTTTAGTGACTTCGCTGTGGAGGCGGGGGAGAACCCTCTTCCCATATTTTTTCACCATTTCTCAGTGATGGTTGCTTTAGGACAGATTAATTTATAATCCCCCCTTTTTATCAATCCTCTTGGTTCAGGTTCAAGTAACCTTCCCCGAACAAGATAAAACAGGAAAAATTATGATTTAAGATTGAACAATCAGTTTGCGTTGATTTAGTGACATTTTGGCAAGTTTGCTAGAAAATAGATATTAATATGGACTGTATGCATGATCTTTCATTAAAGTGACTGGACAAAAAATATAACATAGCAACTACTTGGAAGCAGTGTTTATAATCACAGAACCTTAGGATAGAGTGAATCAGAAACTGGTCATCCCAAATCAGTGGAAGGCATGGCAAACATCTGTTTTACCTAGCTGGACCCATTTCAAAGATTTATTTTCTTTTCTCACTTTAGGGACATCAGGCTCTGCTGTGTGCCTTCCCTTCATGCAAGCTGCCAGAGAATTGGATTTTTAATCTTCCTTTTATTTAACAGAGAAAGTGCTTGGTCTCTCTTAGTCCTCTCATGTCCGCCCATTGTTCATGGCAGAGACTTAGCTAATTAATTCATCTCCTTTTTGTAAGCTTGAAAGGCTCCAGGTTTTATAAATTGAGCAGGTGGTGTATAAATAGTCACAGCTGCTGTGGGTTTATGATAAGTGTGCAAATTGCTAACTCTTCAGGCAAATGATCACTTTTTCTCTGACCCCAGAAGCTTCCCTCCTTCATGGAGATTAGTGTTGCATACAGGTGTAGTGTAGGGATATGATTTAAAGAATATTTCTACCATTGAAAGTAAGATATCAGATCTGCATATTAAACTGTTGAATCAGAAAACTTGTTGATTTTAGAAGGCATTTGTTATATAGCAAACCATATTTGAATAAACAAACAAAAGGACAAGATATATGTTACCATGGAAATTTTAAAAATGGGAAAATGGGTTGATGAAGTATGGTGTAAATAACTTAATAAGCCTGATTTCTGCAAAATTAAGAATGGGGCTGGAAATTTGTGGAATCAAATTAACACAAGCATTAAGATAAAATCATCTGGCATGCATTTTCTGAACCAAAACATAAATTGAAATTGTTCTGAAATTTCACTTTTTTCAAATGTTGTGATATAATCTTTTTTAAAACGTACATAAACATTTTTATACTGAAGAAATTTATTCATAAAAGCATATAATGATGAAAAATTAACCAAAACAGTTTTAGGAAATGGTTCTAAAAGCAGTATGCATGAGAACAAGTATTTAAGGAGAAATTAGCATTAACATACATGCAAATTTTAATGCAGACTTTAAGGAACAATTGTAGACTGGGATGAATATAGGAAGAAATAATGTTAAGAGTGGAAAAAAGAAAAAAATGGACAAATCTATTTATAAATTTGTCCACCGCTAAATAAAAGGAAATCTTATCTCATTGACTTTAGAACTTTAGAACTACAGGTGTATTTGTTATATCATTTTTTTAAAATTCAGAGAGCATCAAGTGATGTGTGGACGGTATCATGTAATATCTTCCTAAGATAAAATGAGTTGGAACATGTGTATTCAATAGTATATATTTAAAACTTTTTCTCGTGGTTATTGGGTAGATGTGACTAAATACAGCCAGTAATATGGTGCAGTCTTCTGGGAGTGCAGACTTCTGTGTCTTAGGTAAATTCACCACATGAAGAAGGATGCCTAGATAATTCTCAGTGGCATAGGATGCATCACATATAAGTTATAAATCACTTGAATGCAGTTTATAATTGCATTTTTAAAACTACCAAAAAATATGACCAACTAAACAAAGCAGAATAGTTTTTAAGGTCCTATTTTTCCGCACCTCTAAGCCACATAAAGGATTTTTACAGCATAGGTAAATCTTTAAAATACTATACTTTAAGCATTTGTGAGGGCTTGCCCTAGATATTAAAATTTATGATGGTAGAAGGTTAAGGAAATTGTAATCCTACATATTTAGAGGGCACTAAACAGGAGAAGGCTACAGAAACGCCTATGAACTAGACTATGAATTAAATTTATCCATTAATAGTCTTCAGTAGACTTCTTGTTGTCAGAACATATTCATATTTGTATGTATTTATTTTGCTAATTGTGTCATTTCCTACCTTTTTTTAAGTTTTCTCTAACTCTTCTTCACAGGAACCCAGGGGAATATATTTAAGCTAATAATATTAATATTCATTAAAATGGCACGTTTTGTTTACTCCTTTTGGTTTTTAATATTAGATCTAAACATATAGATTAACACTTCCTGTTTCTCTCTTCTCTCTTTTTATTGCTGTGCTTACACCTTCGAATTAACAGCAAGTATTCAAGATACATGTAAGTCTTGTTTTCTGACCATTTTTTTTCTCCCCAAAATAACATTCTCTGTATTTTAAGAAACCTGGTATAGCAGCAACCTGTATGGTGTTTAACAAGTTCGAAGTAGATTCTGTATTAACTTGTTGGAATAAAACATTGGTCTTTATATTCAACTAAAGCCCTCAAATATAAAACCTCGCAATTATGGTATCTGAATTTCAGAATTCCAAAGTGGATCATAATTAAAGGGGAAAATATTTTAACCACATTTTTGTTCTTCAGAGAAGTGACACTTTTCTTGGTCTGAAATATAAAACATAGTTATGTAAATATAATTACTACTCTTTTCTTCTTTAAACTTTCTGTCCAAAAGACAGGAGAGATGTGCTTAATAAGTAGCTGGTTAGTTCACACTGATTTTCTGAGCCACAACCATGGAGGGAGAGGGGAATAGAGGGAAGAACCAACCAGACTACAGATAAAGTTCGTTAAAGTAATGGAAAGACAACAGGAAATGAGTTGTGGTCACATTCTTATAAGTCACCAAGAAAAGTCAAGGAAGATCAGCTTGTGTTTAAAATTACTTCTTTCACTATACAGGTAAGTAGTTTAAACAAAAATGGGAGCGATTTGTGACCTGATCTACTGGATGGAGAAAAGTATTCAAAAGTTGTGTAGTTGTGTGGTTTTTAATTTACAGGTGATTGTCAACTTGCAACCAGTTGCTTAGGTGGTGGACTCAAAAAAGCTACTTACATTTTGGGCACTTGACAACTGGCCAACATTTATGACCATTTGCAGCACACCGAGGTCACATAACCATGACTTACGGCATTTTTACTTCTGGTTTTCTGGTTTTCAGCAAAAAAAAGCCCAACCCATATCAAATGAAGAATTTGCTTAATGACTACTACATTCACTTAATGACTGCTGTAAAAAAGTCGGAAAATCGGGCACAGTCTCGTGGTGACCACTTACTGTCCATCCCAACTTACAATTGAAATTATGGGCTCAATTACAATTGTAAGTTGAGAACTACCTTGTTCTTCTGGAGAAAAAATCAGAGGATCAGCTGCCCTGTTCTAGAATTAGGAAAATGAGCATTTGGGGTGATGAATTTGTATGCTGCACTCTTGACTTCCCCTTATAGAAGAAAAGGATTTATAAGTAAAACCTCCTTTAAACAAATAGATCCATATAGGTTTGTTGGCAGCAATACAGAACAATACAGCTTTCCTAATGAGATTCTCTCCAAATACTGACTAGGTTTGACAGTACTTTTTTTTTTTCAGATTAGCTTTGCTTTATTTTATAATATTTTTTAAATGTATATTCCATCTTTCTCACCTCACAAGACTTGAAAAGTTTGAGTGAAATAAAAAGCAACTGCATTTCAAATGGTATTACATATGGAAAGGTATTTTCCCCCTCTTACCTTCATTTTTTCTCTTTCCCTCTCTTATATATGCTTTTGCAGTGCCTCAGCCTCCTACAATTACAAAGCAGTCTGCAAAAGATTATATTGTAGATCCAAGAGATAATATATTCATTGAGTGTGAAGCGAAAGGCAACCCCACCCCCACGTGAGTGTAATTGCAGTTTATTTTCTCAAGAATAGTATACAAACTAATATCTGAATGATTACTGTATCATTACAAGAATGGCTGTGCCTAGACTTTTGTAGAATTCATGGTTAAGTTATTTTGGCAGTCACTTAATAATCAGCAAAGATGGAAAAAAATTCTTCTCTAATACTAAGATCCATGCTTATCACCATGACTCATGATCATGTGGCTTAGAGCAGACACAAACAACTGTTTTCACTCCAGTATAAAATAATTGTTTTGTTAAAAGGGTGTGTGTCATTTATCATGCTAAGTGTATCAAATAGTTATACATAATCAAAGTGTTTCTGGAGTGGTTTGTGGTAGCTTTGCATCATAAAGGTTCTATTATCATCCCTATAGCTCTCTAGGCCTTTTAAGTGCATCTTGGAATTTAAAATTGCCATATCATGATTACTTTGATAAGCATCAAATGTAGATACGGTGCAAATGTAGATTTCATCTCTAATTGTCTTTAATACCATTAAAATCCTAAATGGGTGAATACCTCTGCATTATATTTCATCCAAGTTGTAGGACTCAGGATCCATTACTGCAGAGGAAGTTAATAGATCTCTGAGAACCTGTACATCATATAGCAACAGAGGCCGCTGTTCTTGAGTAGACCCAAGTTACTAACCTTTGCTACAATGCTGTTGACAGGTTTTCCTGGACACGAAATGGGAAGTTTTTTAATGTTGCAAAGGACCCTCGAGTAACCATGAGGCATTGGTCAGGTACACTGGTAGTTGATTTCCGCAGTGGTGGGAGGCCAGAGGATTATGAGGGAGAATATCAGTGTTTTTCTCGGAATGACTACGGAACAGCTATTTCCAACAAAATATTCCTCCATGTTTCAAGTGAGTATACAATAACACGAATTGTTGACTTCATTGTGCATTACGATAACCTTATCAGTTATATGGTTTAGTTTGCTAGGGCTTTGTTTTGTATTTAAAATGGTCATAAAATTTCTAGCATGCAATAAGCTCATGTACAGTTTAATAAGTACAGTGTTGTTGCTTACCAATAGGCGAAAGAGACTTTTTAGCATTATATATTGTTTCAACACTGGTATAAAACAATAGCAACCATCTTCCATTGCAGCAACTTAGAACATTTTTGTATTTCTGTAAATGTATAATTTATGACTCTAAGAACCCTTTCCTAAGCATATTTTGGGATGGGGCAATAAAAAACTCGAGTTGATAGCTTTGATCAACTGGAGCCATTCCCTTAGATGTTGGATTCCTCCCCTGCAGACATCGCTACCTTAACCAACAGCTTATTGTTTCCAATCTGCTCATAAATAGGATCTGTTTATTTAAAGTTTATATCCCTGTGCTCCTTTATTCTATCTTTTTTCAATGGTTTTTTTTTAAATCTCATCAGAGATTTTCTGTATTCATTGGAATCTTGTCTAATTTCTCACTCGCACTATTTTTCTGGCCATTATTCATTATCCCAGGGTCATTTCATAAAGAATCTTCTTGAATCATTCTCTTTAACTATAATACATGAGTAGATGCAATTTCTCTTACAAGGCTTATAATTTCAGAATCTCCTTTGTGGCCAAAGGAAAATTTGGACATTCAAGAGGTTCACGAAGGTGCTTCACTTATCTTGGCATGCAATCCTCCACCTGGACTACCACCCCCTGCTATCTTTTGGATGAGTAGCTGTAAGTCTGTCCGTGACTTAGGTGTACTGTATTTAAAATAAGAAGTGATGGCATCTTAGGCTGAATACATAAGATTGTTCCTTGTGGATTCTCGCCATATATAGGGTATTTAGACCATGGCAAAAACTATGCTTTCAGATGTCATGGATAAAAAGAATTGTTTTAAAAAAATTAGGGGCTTTAATATAGGGTTTTCAACTATGGGCCAAATTGATTTAATCGGATTTTAATATTGTTTTAAATTTTGTGTCTGTGTATTTTATTTGCTGGCTGTTCACCGCCCCGAGTCCCTTGGGAGAGGGGGCGGTATATAAATATAATAAACTATAACTATAACTATAACAGTCTTTCATCTTTGTCAGGTTGAAGGAGGCTAATGGAAGTTAAAGTATAACATATATAGAAGGGACAAGTTTGTTAACTATGATATAACTGCAAGGGAATAATCTACCTACTTTTTCCTCCTTCCATGTTCTCAAAAGCAATATGGAAGACATGTTGTCAGTTAGTAGCTGTTGCTTGTTAATCAAATAAAAGCTGGAGACGCAGACAGAGCTGGTCTAAGACATTTTGCCACATCTCTGTCCTAAACTGCTGTATTATACTTTTCCAAAATATATATGCAGGATTTCACTTTTTGAAATGTACTTCTTTGGTGTGTTCTCATCCCCCTGCCCCCTGCAAGCTGTCCAATAAATAAATGGGCTGGTTGACCACAGTTATTAGCAAAAGTTAATTTACATAAAAATATGTGCCTTACTTTCTAGATTTGAAAATATCTTCTTTTTCACATTGGCTAGATAGCAAGGGGACAAACTTTGTTGATTGACTACAAAAGCAACTCATATGTATATGAAAAACACTGTAAATTGTTTTCCTAAATTTCACTGTACACTTGATATGATCATATTGAAAAGATTCATATTAAAGGAAAGCATGTCAAAAGGTTTTTCCTATCTGCATTCATCACAATAATTATAGTGGCTCAAATTATTCTAGCTTCTTAATGCTAGCAGGAATTGATATGTAGCATTTGGAGATTGTTAGACCTAGTAGGTAATTATCATAGGTTCCAATGCATCTATGAAATGTAGACTATAGCTATGTAACACAGCTATAAATTCTAAAAAGAATTGCTGTTCCTTCTTCCAGCCATGGAACCAATCCATCAAGACAAGCGTGTTTCTCAAGGGCAGAATGGTGACTTGTATTTCTCTAATGTCATGAAGCAGGATGCTCAGACTGACTATAGCTGCAATGCTCGCTTTGCTTTCACACATACCATCCAGCAGAAAAATCCTTACACCCTCAGGATCCTGACCAGTAAGTATTTATTATGAATAGCTTATTTGGAGTAATATCAGCAAGGTCCTTTCTATACCAACTATGCTGACAATGTTCAGAAAAACCATATTCTTTGCAAATGTGGCAGCATTAATGGAAGTATATTTTTATTGTTCAGACATTTCTTAATTTATGTTGTTTCCATTCTACATGTTTAGAAGAAGTTGAAAATTATTTATCTTCTTACATGATTGTTTTGCATTAGTGTCCAAGGAGATGGGAAGGGAGGATGAAAGGATTTTTAAACAGCCCTACTATTACTCTTAACTACTAGTGAAAGAGAAAAAAGAGATGTCACCGTCCAGCTGATTTATCTACAGACCCGAACATTTAAATATTTTAAGGAATATAGTTTATTTGAATATGTTTTTGGAAATTAGAATAGCATAAAATGTGAAAATCTGGTCTTATGTTGTGTTTTATTTTATAGTATACAGCTTTATTGTTGATATGATCCTGCACCACAGAATGCTCAGGGTATCTAATCTAATATCTAATCTAATAAGTATCTTAATAAGTATCTAATCTATCTAATCTAAGGCTATCAAGCAATGCTGAGATGCAGTGCATCTGTGTTTAGAAAAATTTAGTTACATAAAATTTTATCTATTATCTAATTGAGAAGTGGTTCTTTGTGTAAAGATACATACACAAAAATTTGGCAGACACTTTGCTGCAGTTTTTACACTTTTCTTCATCTGCTAATGAAAATTACTGGCAATGTAGGAGGCCACTTGGAAACAATCAGTCTATAATAAATATGATTAGTTGGAAGAAAAGGTGATAAATGAAAAATATATATAATGACATTTTTTCCAGAAACATTTAAGCACTATTCTGTTTTAAGCATTTAAATTGCTCTATTTTCATTTCTTAGTGTTTGACAAATTACAAAATGTAATGAAATTTGTTTATCTAAAAATACATGGCTGATGAATTATTTATTTTCAATTCAAGTTATAAGAAATTGAATAGTGTTCACAAATTTACATGAGATTTTACCAAACTTTTCATGTCCTCCATCTAATAATTTTAAAATACTTTAAAATATTTTTCATTCATTTATTTTTTTAAAAATATCATTTTTTAATGTGCCCTTTTTCCTGGCCTTGCCCATTTTGGACTGTGGCCTTTGTCACCTCTCTTAAAAATAAATGCAGTTTTTGGCATGTTGCACTACCCATGATATAAAAAGAAGAATTGGCAAGAAATGGCCCATTTATGTTAGTGCTATCTTCCGTCAGTTGTTCCTGGGTATCTTTTTAGCATTTTGGAAAATACAGTCAAAATCTTCACTTGGGAATGGGAGACAATCTGCCAAATTATTCCAGGATTTGTCTTTGTGTTTGTAGGGCACACATTATTAATAGTACTGCAGATAAGCTCTCTCACATCTTTTGAGGTGCTTGTTTTGGTCAAAGGTTGTAAAATAAAATAACCAATTACTATTTGATAAGATAGAAAAAATGTGGGTTAGACAGCACCACTACAATGGAACTGCATCTACATGGAGAGAAGTATGTAGTGGGATACCCCAAGACTCTGTTTTAGGCCCAATACTCTTCAACATCTTCATCAATGATTTGAACAAGGGGATAGATGGGGAACTCATCAAATTTGCAGACAACACCAAGCTGGCAGAAATAGCCAATACTCCAGAAGATAGGCTTAAGATACAGAAAGATCTTGACAGACTTGAACATTGAGCACTATTATTTTAATGCTGCAGCTGCCAAAAAAGACAACACAGTTCTAGGCTGCATAAATAGAGGGATAGAATCAAGACCACGTGAAGTGTTAATACCACATTATAATGCCTTGATAAGGTCACATTTGGAATACTACACCCAGTTTTGGTCACCACAATGTAAAAAAGATGTTGAGACTCTGGAAAGAGTACAGAGAAGATCAACAAAGTTGATTAGGGGACTGGAGGCTAAAACATATAAAGAACTGTTGCTGGAATTGGGTCCATCTAGTTTAATGAAAAGAAGGACTAGGGGTGACATGATAGCACTGTTCTGGTATCTCAGGGGCTGCCACAAAGGAGGGGGAGTAAGCTATTCTCCAAAGCACCTGAGGGTAGGACAAGAAGCAATGAGTGGAAACTAATCAAGGAGAGAAGCAACCTAGAACTAAGAAGAAATTTCCTGACAGTTAGAACAATTAATTAGTGGAACAACTTGCCTCCAGAAGCTGTGAATGCTCGAACACTGAAAGTTTTTAAGAAGTGATTGGACAACCATTTGTCTGAAATGGTATAGGTTTTCCTGCCTAAGCAAGGGGTTGGACTTGAAGACCTCCAAGGTCCCTTCCAACTCTGATTTCTGTTCTATACCTGAACATTGAAATGTCTGCATACATAACCGTTCTTAATGTATATGTTATCTTCGCTCTTCATTTCCTCCATATTCTCAGTGATCCTCAGAAATGGAGTGCTATAGTTCCCATTAAATATAATTGAATCTGTTTCTTAAAACTTGATAGTTGTGCAATGTTTATCTATATACTACTAAAACTTTTGGTCTATAACCTTTAACTGGTTGAATAGTGCATCGTAGGACAACAGTTTTTGAAGCAAGGTACCTCAAATAGACTAACTTAAAGAATGAAACCCACGACTGCCATGAAATTGAAACTGGCAAATTTTATAAAACATTTTATGACATAAAAATGATCATAAAAAATAATGACATAATACAAAATGTCATAAAACATTTCCTGTGGTTAACAGTTGATATTTGACTGACTATACATTCAACTTAGGCCAGTTTTAAGGCAAATATATTGCTGAATATCTCTCTGAATTTTTAAGAACTTTTCCAGTGATAAAAGTACACTAGAAGCTCTGTCATTGTCGAAAGCTTTGAGGACTCTGGTAAGGAAATATCTCTGAAAGGATGACCCAAAGGTTGTCTAGTACAACATATTTGTTTAAAATATTGCTTTATTAAAATGAGTAATAAATGCACAGATTGCCACTGTACACCTATACTAAATTGAAATGAATGTGTTTACTTTCAAATGAATAATGTATGAAATGGTGTATTTCATCCTTTCTTGGCAGAACAGAAGAACATTTTCCACATGTTCTTGAATATCACAACAGAGGGAGATTCATAATTAAAATGATAATGTGTGGAGACTCAAACAGATGTTATTGTTTGTATATTTTCATATTAAAGTGCTTGTTTCAACATGTATACTTTTATGCTTGTTTCAACTTTACTCGCTCTTTCGGATTTCCTGGTTGCTTATTTCTCTGTATGCTGTTTGGAATATTTTAGCTTATCAGATTTTAAAGCTTGGTATTAATTTCAAATCTACACTATAGATTTTAAACTGGATAACATGCGTTCAGATTATTTTTCTGATATAAATAGGCTGAGATATAAGATTCTGAGGAAGAGGTAATGGAAAGTGGGGAAGAGAGAGAAGAGAGGGAGAGGGAGGGAGAGAGAGAGATGAAAAGCAATTTTAGTACTATTGATTGTGCATCTGCCTCTTTTTGCCACAATTTTTCCTGACACTTTATTCAGTCTTCATATTAAGTATAACAAAAACCAGAGAGAGGAAGTTGCTTTTGCTCTTAAAACCCTACATCTGCATCTTATTTTTTTAATAGGACACAAGAGATTGTATAAACCAGATGTAAACAATTTCACAACATTTTATTGAGGCACAGAACTAATGGTAGCCCTCCTGCACTAAGAATTTTTGATTCTACAGATTCTGAAACTCTCTCTATTGTACCTAGCCTTTTATTTCCCTTCTCTTTTATTTTCATCCTTATTCTTGCTTTGTTTCATTCAAATTCAGAAATACTTGTTAGCTTGCATGCTTTTCCATGGCAGTTTATTTGATTGTAATAGAAGGCATTATCATTCTGCAGCCTTGTATTTAGCAACATATCTAATTGCCCTAGGATTTCATGGAGCCAGCGGAGAAAGATGACAAAGAAACCAATGGCTCTGTTCCTTACCCCTTATAATAGCCTGCTTGGTTTTAGCTCTCTGGTGATTCAAAGCTCTTCCAGTGATTGACCAGGATAGAGAGGAGAAAGGGACATAAAGTGTAGGGAACAACATTTCCAGAGCTGGGAACGTAGTACATTGATTTGGTAGCATATTGATAATGCGTTCATTGCATGGAATCAGGATCTTTCTGGGACACCCCATAACCCACCTTCTCATATTATCTTTGGTCCTTTCTGATGTCAGAAAAGTTCAATTAGAAAACTTCTGGGGCTGGGGATACTAAGTGTTCGATTTTTTTCTCTGAGTTTGAAATCCTATCACCAACCTCAAGAAAATTTTGAAAAAGTAGTCTTCAAGGATAGTAAAAAGTAGTTGCTCCTGTTATTACTATTGGGAAGTAATTTTATATGGTTTTTTTCATAACATTGTCTATGTCTATCCATGACTAACATGGATATATCTTGGCAATTTATTTTTTAATGAAACGCAACTCATTCTAATAATGTTTGCATGAGCAAAGTCTGAAATGTTCGTTTTCTTTCTTTGTTTTAAAATTGTTTTGTTGCTTCTAATCCTTTCTTAGCACTTGGTGCAAATTAGCAAGAATATTTTGTTTATTGTATGTGCTTGAAAAAGCTTGTGGCTCAACAGTTCCAATTTTGTGAGACGTTTGCACCTCAAATTTCCTGATATTTAGAAACTCAAATGCAAAAATGTAATCAATGTTTCTTTAAAAACTTTTGCAACTGTTTTGATTTTGCATGTTTGTGATGTTTTTTTTTCAAAACAAGCACACCTATAATTTAATATTTCATAGAACTAAGCAGTCTTTTAAAGCTGCTGTGTTACATTGCTGTATTATCTTGTTTATTTCTAAACAGCCTTCAGGGCTTTTTGAATGTTATGTATATGATGTTTCATATGCTTTTCTTTCTGGCATGCACTTTGTATTTATTAAGTTAATTTTCTTCCCTTCCATTACCTTTTCGTTATTCAGTGCATGTTTTGTTGCTTTGGAAAGTTCATGTTATTTTGTTTATTACAGAGTATCCCTATAATGAAGCGTCCTTTCGAAATCACACTGACATGTACAGTGGTGAGTCAATACTGACTTCTGCAGATCCTCATGTTTTAACTTCTCTGTTCCTAACCTGACTTACTATTGTATTAACATCACTTGTTGGTCAGTCAGTGGAAATTGTGAGACACTTTGATAGACACAATAGTCAGGTATCTCTGTCACACCATCTTTTCAGGCTGCACAATCTTCCAAACAAACACTTTGTCTCCATCACTGTTAGATGGACAATTCATATTTTTAAACAACATCATCTTTGTGAAATTCAACTTTCTTTATTGTCAGTTGACGGTATTTTTTCTTATGGGTATATGTAACAAAACAAAACTTTTAAATGTATAATTCCCCAATCACATAATATTGCCAAAGCTTTTCATTTGAATTTCACTTTTGGATTACAAGGATTTGAGCAACACTCAGCTGCCATGTTGAAGAAACTCCATAAACATGAAGATCTTCAACTATAAAGAAAAGATTTTTATACGCACATACACACACTGTGTATGTGTGTATATATATATATAAATATAAATATTATATATAAATATAAACATTATATATATAATGTTTATATTTAAAATGTGTGTCTATAATAACTACAAATAAATGGAAAAACCATGATGGATATTCTTTGCAGAAGAGTTACATAACTGTTTGAATGCTTCAAAGGAACTCTGTTCACTCCTTTTGTACACTGGAAGAATCATGAATTATACATAGTTTTTCAAATATATAATCACCAGGCTCTTCTGTGGCATGCAAATTATGTGATAATGTAGATATTTAAGAAGGGATTAATTTCTCTGGAATTAGGGAAAGAAAATTGCGAGAAAGCAATTTACTTTTGTGAATGCTTGTTTGGATGTATACACAGAGTAGCCCCTGATCCGTTTAATACAAATTTATTTGTTTAAAGAGAAGTGCAGCAAACTGGGAACATTGTTCATTATAGCCTTGCACAATAGATGAGAAATGAATGTACCTTTGTTTATTGTGTACCCAAAGAACATGTAGCATCTCTTGCTTTAGCTTGCAGAGATATCTTCTTTTCATGAATTCAATCCACATTATTTTTGATTTGGAAAATGTTCCTGTAGGACTAGAGGTTAGAAATATTTCTTTTTAAAAAGACTTGCTATGGGAACGATGCTTAAATTATCTTTATCTTTCTAAGGGTAAAATTGATATATGCCGATCAATCCCTTTTTCCTCCAAGACTGATAAACCATTGATGCAAAAATACATCTTTGCTTTTCATTTTTCATACAAAAGTATAATTCTCATAAGAGAGAGATGCAGACTCCAAAGATGAAGGACTCCAGTGAACCCAGGGCTTTTTTGTTGTTGTTGTTTGCTTGCTTGCTTGATTTGATGTTATGAAATCAGACTTAAGAATGAAATATCACAGGAGTCTGTTGATTTCCATCATTTCGTTTCAGTTGCTAACACAGTATGTTCATTAGTGGTATTCAAATAATTTAACAACCGGTTCTCTGCCCTAATGACCAGCTGGGTAGGCGTGGCTCAGTGGTCATGTGACCGTGAGGGCATGGCCAACTCAATGTCACTCATGTCGATGGGCACTTTGCCTTAGCTGTTGCAATGTAATAAGGGGTAACCAGAGAGGCAGTTTCTGTAAACTGGGCAATAAAGATTAGGCTAGAAACAACACCAGAATGTTTCCTTCCTGCCTTCCTTACAGGATTAGCCCTGTAAAGTGGGGAAAAACAAAATAAGATTTTTTTTTCCAACAACCAGTTCACCGAACTGCTTAGAAAATTAACAACCGATAGGTGCGAACTGGCTGAATCCCACCACTGAGTATGTTGCGCTGGGTGTTGCAGAAGGGAAAAGATGGGTGATGTGCAGCAGACATGCCCTACTACTCACTTTGTCTGAATTTTAGTTCATCCCAAACCAGATGGTCCAATTCTTCAATGCTTTCCCTTAGAAAACCACATGTTTTCTATACTTTATGCACAACTCTCCTACACAGCCTCAAGAAACTCTCTTGGGCTTTGCATCTCTCCAAAGCAGATTTGGAGGTAGCATTAAGAACGGCATCGTGCAACATTACTTCATCCCTTACAGTGTATTGCTGGAAGAAGGTATAGCAAGTGAAGTAGCCTGCTGGATTCCACCCATTTCTTTTCTAATTATAGTTTTAAGAAAGATTTTTCTACTTTCTTAATCAACTTTGCTTCCCTTTAAAAAGTCTTGAATTTTATTTTGAGTTGTATTATCTGCATTTAAATTAGACTTCTTTTTTGTTATTGAGGTAATGGTACATTGAGAAACATTATTACCGAAATGAGGATTAGCATGCCCATATTGTAAATAAATAGACAATAGCAAGCTCAACCTGAATGTTTTTAAATGCAAGTAGTCCTCTACTTACAAGAGTTCATTTAATGACCGTTCAAAGTTACAATGACACTGAAAAAAGTGACTTATGAACATTTTTCACAGTTATGACCTTTGCAAGACTCCCATGATCATGTGATCAAAATTCAGATGCTTGGCCACTGGTTCATATTTATGATGGTTGCTGTGTCCCAAGGTCATGTGATCACCTTTTGCGACTTTCTGACAAGCAAAGTCAATGGGGAAGGCAGATTCACTTAACAACCATGTTACTAAATTAAAACTTCAGCGATTTACTTAACAACTAAAGCAAGAAACTTCACAAAAAGGGTCAAAACTCACTTAACAAATGTCTCACTTAACAACAAACATTTTGGGCTTAATTGTGGTAGTAAGTCGAGGACTACCTGTACATGTACTCGTTTTCTTATTATCTTTTTTGCAAAGTTTATTACAAAACAAAACTTAAGAATAAAAACAGGTTAGATATAAAAAAGAACAAATCACAAAATTAGCTGAGTTTATCAATCAATCTTTTGCACATTTGGCATATGATGTAGCAGAATTTAGTTACAAATTACCAGAAAATTCTTTTCCATTCTTGAGTTTGACTGGAGAAGGGAAAGAAAGGTTCAGGTGGGCAGTAATAATCACATTTAACACATATACAACACACAAGATTCCTGCACATTTTTATACTTTCAAGTGATGCCTAAATTATTATTAGTTTTATACTGTCTTTTAAATTTTGTAATCTATGTGTTTTATTTTTTGGCTGTTCACCGCCGAGTCCTTCGGGAGTAGGGCGGTATATAAATTTAATTAAATAAATAAATAAAGATGGGAAAGGTATATATTTATCTCTTGCCCCATTGATGTTCCATCATTTTCCACAAATTCTGCAACAAAGAACTATATTGATATTAATAGGCTCTTCTAGCAAGTTATAATTTGGAAAATAAAGGCTCTTTATGAAATGGTTACTCTAAATAAGTAGAGAAAGCTCTCCTATAGTTATTTCTCTCCAATTTATGGAGGATGACAGTGTCAGGGGACACAGCAAATATACTTATCCTTGCCTCTCATATCTGCTTATGCTATGAAAAAATAGAATGGTTGGGATTAGTGTGTATTTTAGCTTTTTGCATGCCAAAGGAAAGCATGTTTAATTTTAATCTGTGAAAACATTCACTGCCCCTGTGTCAAAACTAGAGCAACATTACTGTAGAAATTCTATTTTGACAAAAATTAATTAAGATTAAGCCCCTAATCCTAAAATTAATGTTCTGTTCTTCACTCTTCTGGTTTTTTCACAAAACAGGTTTACTCATAGGAATATATGAATAATATCTCATTGGTCAGAATCATGGAATTTAGTAACATATAATCTCTTTCCATTCCATTTTATAAATCCCATTAAAAGGATCTATGCCATATTCACAGCTTTATATCTCTTGCCTCTTGTGATAGATGCAAAGCTGGCTAGACTTCATTGTTTCATTGTTCAATGTTCGCTTCAGCAATAGGTAGATGTGCAGGAAGCTTAGGGAGACAAATCTGTGTGCATAGAGTATAAGCAATAAAAGGAACAATGTTAGGATTTTTCAAAGTACGTACCCTATGCAAAGTTGGATGCTTTGTTAAATGGCATCCATTTAGGTTGGCAAAGCTTTGAAAAAGTACTTCACTTTAATTAAGCTTCAAAAGCAACACCACCTTAACAATTATTTGCATCTCAGTGTATTATTTCACCAAAGTTTTCAGTGGAAATTGAATAAGCAATTTATCTCTAAATATCTTGGGAAGTCATTACTGCCCTGTTTTATGGGCAGGAATGTATTCACCAAAGTGCTGTTTAGAGATATTCTTTCTAGAACTATTCTGTTTCGGTATCTTCATCTGTACTTTGATCTAAATATCTGCAAAAACTTGAAGTTCAGTAGAGGAACTACAAGAACAATTTAGCTATTTCATACAATCCCTGTTGGTTACAAAGTCAGTTGCTCTGAAAATTTGCTGCAAGCAGTCATTGATTAGTAAGTTCAATCAAATCTGGAAAGCATTCATGAGCAATCTCCTAGGAATATATGTCTTGTACCAAGTCAACTCATTGATTCATCTGGCTCAAATTTGTCTTTATTAAGTAGCAGCAAATCTTTAGGTGTTCCAGCAGGAATGTTTTCTAAATTTAACTCAAACTGTCTGGAACTAGAACCTATTGTGTGCAAAAAGAGACATAGCAACTGTCATAGGTCGATTAAGCAATTTAAACATATGCTTCAAAGATACACAATAGTTAATTTACATCAGTAATCTATTAACAATAATTAACTAATTACACACTAGCATATTTAGTAATGCTACCTATTTGTCTTCTGTAGTTTGTGAACAAGCCTGAAAGTTTCTCTTGGCATTCTTAATAAAACCATTGATCACAGTTTGTGTTTATGTCAGCGCTACAAAATAATTTCTGGCTCTGTGTGATTTTTTTTTCAGCTCAATTTCCTTTCTTGCATGCAAATGTATGTAAGAGAGAAAGAAAACATCAGCATCCATAAATAGGATAGATATTTATACAGAATTCCATTATATGTGAATCAGTAGAAATCTGCTCGAAACTGAAAACTCAAATGTATGTATCTGTGCCCTATCACATAGGAAGATTTAGTCCAGCATTCTAACACATAAAGACCCTCTGTTGGGAGCTGTTAATTAATGATTAATTGCAAATATTTCTTTCTATTAACACTTATTAACACAATCCTGTCAAGTTCCAAAGAGAAAGAAGTCTCACGTATTGCTATCTTGAGCTTCTAGAGAAAAAGAAAAATAGAAATCTAGTAAATAAATAATATTTTAAAAATAACATACCTGCTACTTTTTTGTATCCTAATTGTTTATCTATAAGTTTTATACAAGTTTTTAACTTATTCAGTTTACAAATTTTTCTGTGCATCTGTGAATTTTTTTCGTAACTGTTCTGCTCAAATGCTTGTCTTAACCTGTCTACAATTCTTGTATTTGCCCCTTTGTCTTGCTTTAAATATTTCTTTGTGTGTGAGGTGCACATTCACATGCACAGAGCTTAGGGAAATGTCACTCTCTGTGGTAATTTTCATTTAATTAACGAAATGAGTCCATATTGAACAGCATGGAATAATTGCTTGTTTATGACACTATTTATTCAAGGTTCTTTCTACATAACGGCTCTTTTAAAAGATCGTATGTCAGCTGTCTTCTTGTTTTGAAACCTCTTTTGATGAATTTGAATTCATTTTTATGAAATAAGTACTAATGGTGTGGCATTTTATTTTTGCTCCTCAAATTAACTGTGAATTAACTTCTTATCATGGACAGAAATCTTGTATTTCTTTCATTCATTTATTTTCCTTCTCCCTGGAGTTCATATTTCCATGAGGGGGAAATCATGAGTATTATTTAGAAATATAGTTGTGCTTGCTACAGTAGAATATTTAGACATACCATAAGCTCATTTTGTTATTTGTGCACAAATCAAAAGCAAGAGTTCCATCCAATGATTTATTAAGGTATCCACAATGACAGAGTCTTTAGAACTGATATTTGAAATCATATCAGTTTCAAGTATTGTAAGCTAACACAGAAGCTTCCATTCTTCAGAGTCATTTAGAACTATTGAATTAATTATATTGTCCTTTGCATCTCATTAAATTGATATCCAGTTAATGTTAGATCTAAGTTCAATTAAACATTTAATAAAACTAACTTTGAGACCAAAAGATTTTGCCAATCTCAGAATGCTTTTGCAATATTGTACTTGTAATCTTCCCTATTAAATCAGTAATCAACCCTTGATTTTCATTGCTGTTTCATCATGTTATAATGCTAATCAGATTTGTGAAACTTTTTCATCCTATGTATTTTAATGAGGAATGCAGCCAACAATATAAATAACTGCTTTAAGTCAAAGCTTTTTATGCTCTCTTTATAGATAAGGAACAATTTTCTTGTTTAAAAACAACAACCCTTAATTACTGGCTTTAATGTTGGGGTAGCTCCTTCTGTGTGTGATATTTTTTTCCCTCTGGAATGGATCCTAAAAAAAATCTGGATTTGTTATACAAAGAGAATATAAATATATCACTAGAATGAAATAACTATGAACTAATTGAGTCTGATAGATCAAATATAGATCAGTAAAACTCAAAGCTGGCATACGTTTAGTTTCTCTGGAAACTAAACGTATGGTTAAGTGCTTGGTTAAGTGGATTTTTAAATTTGTTGCTGTACAAACAAGGATATATTCACTATTGTGAGAATGGAAAAGAAGAGATGCGTTGTTCTGATAGTGCAGCACAGGGGTCCCTAACTTTTCTGGCTATGCAGACCGGCAGTGGAGAGGGGGAGGGGAAGGTTTCATGTGCTCGCCCTCACTTGCATGACCTGGTTCCCAATGGGCTGTAGCCCAGAACCAGGCCACAGACATGGGGGGATAGTGTTGGGGACCCCTGGTGTAACACATCTGAAGTAGAATTTATTTATGTCATTGAATTCTAAGACTGCCCACTAGCTGACAACTCTAACCACCTTATAGAGGACTAAAAACAATACAAGTAAAATAAAAAAATACCAATAACACACTGGGAGGGAATGACACCGCCCCCCCCTCCATATACAACAATTACAATACAATTGGTGGGATCACATTCCACCCTTAATTCAGTGCCCATGGGAAGAGCTAGGTCTTTAATTCTGTCTTAAAGATCAATTGAGTTGAAGCTATACAGATCTTGGGGGTAATGTTTCAGAGGATAGACACAGTTACAAATGAGGGATACCTATTGGGTTTTATAATGTGATTGTTTAATGGACGGGACCCAGAATATGCCAAGTCTCTCAGATCTTACAGGATGGTCAGAGAGAATTGTGGAGAGGCAGTCTTACAAATACCTAGGTCTTATACCCTTTATAATGTTTTGTGAAATATCTTGTGCAATGACTAGTATAACAGTTTGTGTTCATGGCTCAGTGGAATGGCTTGCTCAATAGTTCAGTATCAAAATATGAAATGTTTCTCTTGAGCAAGGATGAATCACAATCAGGTTTCATGAACTTAAGTGAACTTCAGTGTTTCCATGAGACCCAGCACATAATATTGAATATCTTATTACCGAATGTTTTTAAATAACATTTGATTTAACTGTTTTAGTTGTTTCTTGTAATTCATATTTTCCCACTGTAAATTTCACAAATGTTTTTAAAGTAGCATTGGAATTTTATTGATAGGTGATTGTGATGTCCACAAACAGGTATATAATAACATGAGGACATTTCTGCAGTATTTTTATTTTGAAAAAAATGAAACTTAGAATTCCCTTTTTCTAAACATCAAACTTGCACATGGTTAAACTTGAAACCTGGTAAATATCTGTTTTGCTGTGAGTAAGGTGACTGTTATTATTACAATTATTCTAACTGCTTCATTTAATTCCATTCCATATATTTCTGTGCCATTGTCTGATTTTTCCACTCAAATCTTGTTCCGTTTTAGTATTTTCCCAGTCTCTTTATAGATTTCCACTGCAGGTCTTGGATGTTGCAGATTCTCTAATTTTGTTTCCTATTCTCTTTCATTTTTCAAACTGCCCTTTGGAGAAGGATTTACAATTCTGTATTTTTCCTCCCTTATGTCCTGATTTCAGCCCGAGGTATTGCAGAAAGGCAACCCAGCTTCATGTACCCTACTGGGACCTCAAGCAGTCAGATGGTGCTAAGAGGAGAAGACCTCTTGCTGGAATGCATTGCCTCAGGAGTGTACGTACCAGTTGGGATCAGGGAAACCATGGTTTGTCAAATACATTCTGGTCTATGTTCTGGGACATAAAATCACAGTTGCTTATTCTTACTGATTTTAGGTTTGGTAAATAAAAGTTAACTTCATAAGTACAAGCAGGAAATAATTCAAATGTAAAAATTTGAAAACATAATTTTAGTTCATTGATGTTTATGGACAAGGGGAGCAAGTGATGAAAAGTTGTCGTGGTAATATTATGCAAGTTCCAAAGTTTACACACTTGTATATACCACAGTTCAAATATGAAAGCATGCATTGTGACATCACAATATATGCTTCAACATTTTGTAACGCTTATCATTAGAAATTAATGCCAACTTTGATGGCTAGAAGAGCATTTTATACCACCAAAGTTTGTACTACCACAATTAAATATGTATCTGAAATCTTTAGTCTCAGGAGTCAAAAACTAACAACTTAATTTTATACATGAATAATTAATTTCTACTCTCTTGCCTCTCAAGTTGTTTGGCAGGCATTTTGAGAGAACGGTTATTTTGAGAGGACACTGAAAATTCTACCCTTAAAATAGACAGCAAGTTTCCAGAAAATTTCTTTATAATACATAATTCATGTTGGAAAAGTCTCGGCATCAAATACTTAAATCTTTTGGATTTATTTATTTTTTTTCGGTTCCTTCAGTCCATCACCAGATATCATGTGGCACAAAAAGGGTGGTGATCTCCCATCTGGCAGGATCAAGTTGGAAAACTTTAACAAGGCTCTTCATATTGCAAATATTTCTGAGGAAGATTCTGGGGAATATTTCTGCTTAGCTTCCAACAAAGTGGGCATTAGCCGCCATAGTATCTCTGTGAAAGTGAAAGGTATGTCATGTTTATTGTGCCTTCTTATTCTCCAGCAGGTAGTAATCCAAAAGACCAGTGAAATATAGGAAATCTTTCTGGGGTCAGTCTGACCATATGATCGGAACATGGTATCAGAATGCTTCCTGAATAACAAATTACTGTTTTGAACACAAACCTACATAACTTTATTCAGCCAAGTGGAGGAAAGCATGAAACTGTCATTGTTCCTTAGGTGCAGTGAATTGGGGAACAGCCAGACAAGAGAGAACAGAAGCCACAACTACATAGTGGGTAGAGTAAGTGTCTTAGAAAGGAGCCTCCCTAAGTTATCAGGATGTAAAGGTGATGGCAGACTTGCTAAATTCTGTTAATGCAGTTTTGTAATAACGTAGAATTAGCTTATTTGGCCATGTTTCCCCTTTGATCTACCTGGTAAGGCTGATACCTTCTCTGCCATGGTGGCCACCTTATGGAGCATTCACCACCATCCTCCCCAAAGCGAGGTCAGCTCTATCCCTTTTCAGAAGTCTCGCAAGACTTTGCTATGTCATCAGGCCTGGGGACCAGGGGAGGTGGCTCCCTTGCTAATCTAATCACTTGAGTGCCTTATGCTTTTAAAGCTTTTTTTTAATGACCATTGTGTTACATGTTTATTATTGTATATCTTTGTTGTCACACTGCCAAAAGTCACATCTTGCAAGATGGGCAGCTATACAGATTTGATACATACATAAATGTAATAAATTGGCCTTCTAAGAGTTCAAAGAATGACAGATAGGCAAAATGTATTCAGATTATGAGACCTTTTCAAGTACATTCCCATTTATATGCCGCATGTTTATTCCAATTTGCCCTAAAGGTCAAATATTACATCATTGAATGTTCTTTTTCTGCCCCTCCCAAAAAACTAAAAACAGGTTTCCCAAAATTCTTCATCCTTTTCTATATATTCACTGCAAGTAAATTAATAAACAGCAAAGAAAGAGGAGCTCCAGCTGCCTTTTATTCCTGTTCTGATTTACTTGCTGTCAATATATACAGATTATTATTTATTTTAGGAACATCCCAATTAAGTATATTAACCTTCATTATTAATTGGAAGGAAGCCCTTGCTTCATTTCAGCTTCCAGTCATTAGAAAAGTGTGTTCTCTAAACTTAGATTTGCTATAAAAAATGTAACTAATTGTATTCACTATATTCCAAGCGACTTCTGTGCCTACTTTCCTTTCGTTGAAAGGAAAGATTGATCTATCTTCTAGTACTTCTTCACACAGAACTCATAATTTGTCTTCCTGTAGTCATTTTAGCTTTCCTGTAGTTTTCTTTATTTCTTTCCTTTTCTTTCATATCCATATTTTCTCCAGTGGATCACTATAATGATAGCCATAGCATCTTTTTATATTTATCACTTTTGTTCTAAAGCTTCCCCATATTGGTTGGATGAACCAGAGAACCTTATTTTGGCTCCTGGTGAAGATGGAAGACTGCTGTGCCGTGCCAATGGTAACCCCAAACCTTTAATTCAGTGGCTCGTGAATGGAGAACTTCTAGAAAGTAAGCAAGAACAGAATCTAATTACATGAAAAATTTATATCTTATATGTTTTTTGACCTCATTATTATTATAAGGGAGGTAAAGTTATTTTCAAATAACTGCTTGTAATCCTTCCTTCCTTCCTCCCTCTTTCCCTCCCTTGCTGTCACTCTTGACTTCTGATGACCATCTGGATTATTTCTATTTTTACTGCTTCAAGTTATAATTGCTTGAAGTACAGGTCAAATTTTTAAACAATTGATTGCTGATACCAACAAAGTGTGAAATATAAGCTCCAGTGGATTCAACTCATTTTATACTTTAGTCAATGCTTATTTGCATTTTTCATTTCTGAAATTATTTGTTTTATGCTATTAAAAATAATTGATTGTTGGCATGTTAATATGCTACAGTATTTCTGTGGTTCTATACTTTGTCTGAATTTCATTGGAGGTTAAATTATGACGTTAAAGTGATTGATGTTTTACATCAGATCTTTTGCTTTTTTAGCTAGACCTCATACATAACATGTATTCATATACAAACATGACTTACTGTAGTCTTGATGTTATCATATATTTCTATATAGATTCTCAGTCTTCTTAGGAGGTTCTGAGATTTGTTTTTTTCCTCTCAATTATCTCTGCCCTTTACTGCTTTTCTTTGGTTTCCCTTGTAAATTTACAATATTTCTGCATTCCAAATTCTGTAATAACATAAATCTTCCTGCCTACATAAACAATGGAAGCTTCCTGCTCCATTCTAAAATGTTGCTGTTCTTATATAGCTACATAAGAACTTATAGTAGGGCCGCTCTCTGAAATAGCTAGCTATACTGCCTAACAATTTTTGCTATGCTATCATGTGGTTATATTATTATTATTATTATTATTATTATTATTATTATTATTATTATTATTTTATTCATTAAACATGAAACTCAATCAACTGAACATTTAAAAATGTATCACAAATACCATTGACTGGTGCTAATGGTTGATATGGGTTGCTGCCAGTATCCTAGGTATCAACCAAGTATCTTCTTAAGATGTATGATTTTCCGAGCAGCCCAGTTTTTTGCAGTTCCACTGGTGTTATTGCAGGAAGCTGCAATTTCTTGATGTGTTTTGTAAAATTCTTGGACATGATACCAAGTGCCCCGATGACACTGTTATCGATAGATATCACTGTTACATATTTCATCCATAGCCATGTAGTTTCAATGGCCAGGTCGCAATATTTCATGATTTTTTCCAGTTCTTTTTCTTCAACTATGATGTCTCCTGGTACAGTGATATCAATAAATTGTACACTTAGGGCCTCTACAACCGTGATATCTGGCGTCTTGTGTTCCAAATGACGATCTGTCTGTATTCGAAAGTATTATTATTATTATTATTATTATTATTATTATTATTATTATTATTATTATTATTATCCCATTTTTCAAAAAATTGAGGGACAGTTGATTCATGTAACAGCAGTAATCATAAGTCTCTGAATTGATTATGTGGTATAAGCATAATTGTGTGATGCTTTAAGGATGAGATCAAAAGGAATAGTCATGGGATGTTTAGCCAAACCAAACAAAAACTAGGTACAGGTAGTCCTTCTTTAACAACTGATCACTTAGTGATCATTCAAAATTACAACAAAGTTCTCCAAAAAACAACTTACAACTCGATTCTGGCAATAAGCTCATCTTGCACATTCCACAGTCACATGACTACTATGATGCACAAAGATTTTTGTTGCTACTTTCTAGCTTTTTTGGAATGAATGGACACCTGTAACAACCATGGGATTCACTTAACAAGTTGGAGTATTCATTTTGCAACTGCCACATTCACTTAATGAGTGCTGTAAAAAAGGTCATCAAATCAGGTTAATTATGTGGGCACCCCGATTTACGACTGTCCTGACTTATGGCAGAAATTCCCAGCTCCATTATGGTCATAAATTGGAAGGTTACTTGCCTAAAAGACCCCTTGTGGTGCAGTGGTTAGAATGCAGTATTGCAGGCTAACTCTGCTCACTGCCTGGAGTTCGATCCTGACCGGCTCAAGGTTGACTTGGCCTTCCATCTTTCCAAGGTTGGTAAAACGAGGACCCAGGTTGTTGGGGGCAATGTGCTGGCTCTGTAAACCACTTAGAGAGGGCTATAAAGCATTATGAAGTGGAATATAAGTATAAACGCTATTGCTAATGCTACCTGTAAGTAATTAAAATGAAAGAAAAGACATTTTTTTAGTTAAATTGATTCATACTGAGCCCCTTGCAGTTAGTAAAAAAGAAACAATAAGAGTTTTCCTGCTTGTACTTAAGTTTGCCAGTATATTATCGGTACTAACATAATTCAGGATAATTTGTTTTACTGTCAATATAATGGATATTTCCTTCTTAAATATACAGCCTCAATGATAGACCATAGAAACAAAGACGTATTGAAATAAACATTGAACAGAAATGTAACATATAGATTTATATCAAAAAAATAAAGTCTTCTATGGACTAACATGACTGGAACTGCTACTTTAAAATGTTTCTCATTCTCAATACCATGTTTCCCCCAAAATAAGACATCCCCTGATAATAGGCCCAATCGGGCTTTTGAGTGCATGGCAGTAAGGCCAAGCGCTTATTTCAGGGTTCAAAAAAATATAAGACAGGCTTTTATTTTCAGGGAAACATGGTATTTAATAATAGGAATGTCCAGATCAAGAGAGAAGTTCCATCCATTATTTCTTCACCTCAGATAAGATTGATTGCTTAATTTTAGATGCTTTTATGGTGTTTATTTGATATAAATTATAACAAAAAGAAGTAGAAGATATCTCTTAATTTATGTCCGTCTGATTCCAAGGTTCTGCTCCCAATCCCAGCCGTGAAGTTAATGGAGACACCGTTATGTTTCGGGACATCCAGAGTGGCAGCAGTGCTGTATATCAATGCAACGCTTCTAATGAACATGGGTACCTGTTAGCCAATGCATTTGTTAGTGTGTTGGGTAAGCACTGAACAGGCAAAGTTCTCAGTTTTTTAGTCTAGTTTTAAGAACCTTTAAAATAATTTCCTTTTTTTATACAATTGTTTTTTCCCAGGAACTAATATCCATTATGGTTGTAATTAAGCAATGGGTAAGATGGTTTGTTGAAAGAGCTATTGTATTCTACTCTACATATCACAATGGCTCAACTCAGAATGCAAAGAAAGCTAAACCATACTAAAATGTCATGGCTTATTGAAATAATAATCCCAACCACTGATTAAATTATGAGAAAATTTGTTTAGCTATACAGTTGTTTAGGACAACAAGTTGATTTAATATTTAAAATAAAAGGAAAGCTTTTCAAACATGAAAAGAAAATATACATATATCAAATTGTTCTTGTTATGAATTAGTAGAACTGGAAATTGAATTGTTTAAAAGCATTAGAGCAGAATTCAATATCTACATCAGAATGTTTCCATTAATAATTCAGGTCAAAATGATCCATCTTTGTGCATTTTGATTTATGGCATTTCATAGCCTAATATAATACATGTACATATTAATTTATAGTAACAAAAAATACATCATTTCATTGATATTTCCTTCGGAGGAAATATACACAGAGATATATCTGCTTGGGAATAGCCCATGTTGAATTTTGTAACACAGTCAAACATCAACACACGAAATGTTTTGTGATGTTTTGCATCATGCCATAAACTGATTTATAATAACTTTTATGAATGAATGAAAATTTTTAATAAAATTTTCCAAATTTCAACTCCAGGAATCTGGGTCTTGGAGTTTTGACACATTCTTTAAGTTAGCCCATTTGAAGTACCTTGGTTAAAAAATTGTTGCCTTATGATGCCCCATTTTGCCTAGTTAAAGATTTAAGTAGCATATAGAATGTGTATGTATATGTGTGTGTGTATGCATATGTACACATATTATATGTGTATGTTTATATACACTCATATATGTATGTATGTATGTATATGTATATGTGTTCTGCCCCAGCTCCAGATTCCCGAGGATATTGACACACACCAACGGTCCTTATCAAATTTATTAAGTAGCAAGAATAAACCAAAGTCCGGCAAAGGTTGGCAACCAGCCCAGAAAACAAGATACGATAAGACTTTTCCAAAAATGCTCTGATGATAATTACAAGTTGTTTCCAGTAAGAAACTTGCTAACGGCGTGTGACTTAAATAGGCTAAGGGAGTGGCCAATTATCCTCAAGCTAGACTCTTGAGGAGACCTCCTCCTCCTGAGTAGCCACTCCTGCCTTTTGGCAGCCCTGCGTGCTTGAGCATTGAGGAGAGGCTCCTCCACTTCGCTCTCTCCATTTGAAGGAGCTTCTGGAGGTTCTGAAGGCCCTGGCTGAGTCTCTGCCTCTGGCATCACATCCTCTTCAGCCTCCTCGCTGTCCGACGCGAGCACCGGCTGCGCAGGCTGCTGGCACGACACCACACTAGCCTCCTCATCATCGGGATCAGCCACGATCCGCGCAGGCCGCTGGTGGGCCACAACAATATGTATATGTATATGTACATGTACATGTACATGTATACATACATACACCTACACATACACCCACTGAGGTATTATATCAGACTTTAAAATGCCATAGATGCATAAAGACTTTATCATTTTCATTTGAATTATGAATGGAGATATCATAAAAAGTCAAAATTGCAGAATAATATTAATAAACTATATCTCCCCAATCCAGTCTTCCTTGTCCCACCTGGGATACGGTGAGGATTTTTTTTTTTACTATGTCCTTGAAATTTTTCTATATAGAAAATACATCAAAGACCCTTTTATACTATATCTAGCATATGAACTCACACTTAATTAGATAGCAGTAGAGATTCCAACTATAGTTAGAGGTTTTATTTTATTTTAAAATAGATTCTTCCTTTTAGAATTGTCTTTGGTAGACAATTGGTCCTATATTTGTTTTGGATTAATGAGTCATCTCCCTAGGGAGCTGTTAAACCTAAGTGTCTTTTTATTCCGCTATAAATTAAGCCTAAATTCTCCTGTTCTTTTTTTATATATGTCCATGTGTCTATTCATTTAAAGAGTGCTTTCCCTCTTGATCTGACTTGCCAATTACACAGGTTTATGCATTCTTATGCAAGACTGTTTCATTACCATCCAATCTAAAAAAAAAGTTTGGAAGGGATTTAATTATGAGCATATCAAAATGAGAACTTAAAAGTTGGAATTTTTCTGACTGTAGAAATGCGTAAAAGTTTAGATGAAATAGGTAAAAGATAATTATTGTGAGAAGAGGGGAGGCTCTCCTCACGGTCACTCATGCCCTCGTCACCTCACGGTTAGATTATTGTAACGCATTCTACATGGGGCTACCCTTGAAAAGTGTTCAGAGACTACAGTTGGTCCAGAACACAGCTGCGTGAGCTGTCGTGGGTGCACCTAGATACACCCACATTACACCAATTCTCCGCGAGCTGCACTGGCTCCCTATTGGTCTCCGGTCACAATTCAAGGTGTTGGTTATTACCTTTAAAGCCCTACATGGCTCAGGGCCAAGGTATCTTCGAGACCACCTTCTACCGCATAACTCCCAAACAACCGGTAAGATCCCACAGAGTTGATCTCTTCCGGGTCCCATCAGTTAAACAGTACCGGCTGGCGGGCCCGCAGGGGAGGGCCTTCTGCCCCAGCTCTCTGGAACCAGTTACCTCCTGAGGTCCGGACCATCCCCACCCTATTGGCCTTCTGAAAAGCAGTAAAGACCTGGCTTTTCCAGCAGGCCTGGGGCCGTTAATCTCGCTCTTGCGATCCGGCAAGATCCGGCCATGAATGGTGTGAATGAGTTTTAATGTTTTTAATGTTTTTAATTTTTAAATGTTTTTTATAATGATTTTAAATGCATTGTGAGCCGCCCTGAGTCTTCGGAGAGGGGCGGCATACAAATTGAATTAATAAATAATAATAAATTAATAAGAAGAAAGAATTGAAGGGAAAGCTTAAATCCAGGTTGTTGTTTTATGGTTTTTTGTTTTTGTTTTTTGCTCTTTACCTAGAAAAGTTGTAATATTCAGTGTACAAATATATCAAATAAGAATAGCCATGTAGGTTCCCCAACTATAGTGGGAAAACACTATAATTCAATAAATCACAATCAACAAAGTATAATTTTTAAAAATAAAATTTTCATAAATATTATTTATGAAATATTTCATTACAGTTTTTGCCTTTAAAATTCTTGAAAAGTTCAGGCAAAATCTAAGCAATCAAAAACTTAAATCTGAAAATTCAAACATTAGTATGGAATGTTTGCAGTAAAGCAAAACAACAGTGCTGGCTGGTTCTACAGACAATGCCCTTTTGTCGTTTTAAGATGTTGTTCCTCGGATCCTTCTCCCTCGTAACCAACTGATTAAAGTTATTCAGAACAATCGGACGCTTCTTGACTGTCCGTTCTTTGGATCCCCGATTCCCACATTACGATGGTAAGAATTTTATTATTAAGCCACAGCATCTTTTTAGTATATATCTGTTTTTTACATTAATTATATATATTACTTTTAATAAATAAGACAGCAACATTTTTTTAAATTAGCAGATATCCAGGTTACAAATATGGCATTGGAAAGACAAGGTAGCCATTATTAAAAATAGATATACTTGTCTTTATCTAGATTTATGTATACTTCAAATAAATCAATAGACCAGCTGGACAAGGTTAGGTAGTAATTCCTTCAGTGCATGGGTGTCCAAAGTTTTGGCTTGTCTGGGCCACATCAAATGAAGAATTGTCTTGGGCCATATGTAAAATATATAATATAGTTAATGTACATAAATCATATAATAATGTTAAAAGTTTATGATCTTGTGAGGCCACATCCAGGGCTTCATGCAGACTGTGGGCCATGGGTTGGAACACACACATACACACACACAACCCTGCTTTGGTGGTTTGTATATTGAATATTTAAAATAATTTATTCTTGTTTCATGAGGTTTAAGAATGGCCAGGGAAGTACACTGCATGGTGGCAACTATAAAGCACATGAGAATGGAACTTTAGAAATCATCAGGGCTCGGAAAGAAGACCAGGGAACTTACACCTGTGTGGCTACCAATCTTTTGGGCAAAGCACAGAACCAGGTTCGTTTGGAAATAAAAGGTAAGGTGGCTTCTGCTTCAGTAAACTACAGGTTTTTTTCCAAATAGTGGGGAGAGATGTGGTTTCCATCAATAGCATATATCCTATTCATAAAGAAGGTGTGATGTTTTAGTGAAGCTTACCGTAATTTGGCAATTGGAAAGAATAGGAATAATGCACATTAAATTACAGTTAAATGGACTTCTTCAAACGTAAGTTCTGTAAACCTTTGCTGCTTGTTCAACATTAGACCAAAGACCCTCAAACTTGTAAAAGATGACCTAATACCCTGAAAGCTAATACAATTTCCATTCTATTTATCTAAACATTATGAAGGGTTTCTTGAGCTTGACAACAGAGATAGAAATGCCAGAAGCTTCAACTCAAAGAGGAACCTGTCATTCAGTCTTGTTTCATTATCCAGTTCATGGATGCCCATGAGAGAATAAAAGGGATTCAGAAAAGGAAGGAGCAGCAGCAGGAAAATATAAAGAAAGATGAGAGAGTGGTTCAAACACTGAGCACGGGGTTGGACTAGATGACCTTCAAGGTCCCTTCCAACTCTGTTACTGTTAAAGCATTTTTCCGAGCAGATGCTGTGAACTGCAGAGAAGGATTATGCAACAGCAATAACAAAGAATTCTTGCTGATTTATCTGAAAGATTGGTTACATATTGGTTGTGTCCTTGTCATACCAATTTGGGGTGAAACCTATTGCCATCTGTGGGGCTGAATCTCTTGAGCTGAATTACACCTCCAAGGTACTAGGGTGCGCATTAAAATGTGTCTGGTGAATACAAGAAGGATTGCAGGGCCTAAGAATGGATAAATATCAGTAAAAATTAATGCTAGAAATGGAGGTGTTTCCAGATTTATCATCACTTATTCCTTGATGAATAAAGCAATAGTAGACAATCTGTCATTGTGACATTCTTTTATTAGATTCTATTTCCTAGTGCTTAAATTAGCCTCCCCTAACTCCATTCCCTTCAAACATCTTGAAGGGACTAGTTTGAGGGCTTCAGATAAATTAAATAGTTCACTAATAATCCTAGGCTACTACCTAACTCTTTGCAGATCCCACAAGGATCATAGAGGGGCCCAAAGATGCTATACCAAAGAAAGGTTCCACAATTCACTTAGTGTGCCAGACAAGACATGACGCCACATTACGGCTTACGGTTACCTGGCTTAAAGACGATATTCCTGTCTACTTTGGAAACAGGTCAGTTTCATCTTTCTTTTATTAAATGATGTATTTCTCAAAATTTTAGCCTATTCAGCTTCTCTAGGATACAAGTAATTATTATAGATTTTTCCCATTTTGATTGTGAGAATTACATCTATTGCTATTTGGAAGAAGAGTAAATTGATGATGGGGAAAAAATTGTAATAGCAAAAGCCAGGTTTTGTAATCAGAAATAGAAGGAGCAATAAATAACTGAAAAAAATGTTTGATATCTCTTGTTAAAAATTATGTTCTAAAATTAATGATGTTTTTTTCACCAGAAGTTACTGATTTTTTACTTGCTCATTTAAAAACACCACTTCTGAAAAAACAATGTTTATGTATATATGTAATTCTTTTTTAATACTACATTTTTGATGCCTTCAGTTTTATCTTAGTCATTTAAAATAGAGAATTTACCAGTATATATTTCCCTCCAAAATAGTACAATATGTTTTCTAGACTGAGCTTGTTGGTTTGTAACTTTAAAACTAAATCATTTTTTTTATAAAAAAAGTTATCTACTTGGTAAAAAATTAAGTAACACTTTCCTTTTTAAATTCTTAGAAGTTCAGTCTCCTTGATTAAAGTTAATGAGCTTTTATTTATCAGGCTAATACTGTTTTCAAATAAAAAAAAAATCTCAGAAAACATACCAACATAATTAATTAAGTGTGCCAGATTCCCTTGAAGAATGATCTATTAGGTATGTCTCTGTTTAGTATTCCAGGCATAGCAGCATTTGGAAATTGATCAAAAAAAGCAGTTTATAAATTAATGTCTACAAAAACACCAAAATAAACTAAATTTATTTATTTATTTATTTATTTATTATATTTCTATACCGCCTTTCTCCCGTAGGACTCAAGTGTACAGTCAAGAAAAATATAGATATACAAACATCATTGCTAATTAAAATTATTACTTAGTTTGGTCAATTAAATAAAACCCAGAATTAGATAACATTTTTAAAAAAATCATTCACATGTTCATATGTTTAACCCCACCTGTTGGAACATCAGGGTCTTGAGGGCACGGCGGAAAGCACCGAGATCAGGGATATTTCGTATCTCAGGGGGCAGTTCATTCCAAAGGGTTGGAGCCCTCACAGAGAAGGCCCTCCCCCTGGGAATTGCCAGTCGGCATAATTTGACTGACGGTACCCTGAGTAGTCCCTCCCTGTGAGAATGAATTGGTCGGTGGGAGGCTATTGGTGGCAAAAGACGGTCTCGTAGGTATCCAGGTCCTAAGCCATGGAGCGCTTTAAAGGTGATAACTAACACCTTGAATTGCACCCGGAAGATCACCGGGAGCCAGTGCAGCTCGCGCAGGAGAGGTGTTACATGGGCGTAATGAGCTGCACCCATAATCACCCGCACGGCTACATTCTGGACCAGTTGGAGCCTCCAGGTGCTTTTCAAGGGGAGCCCCATGTAGAGAGCATTACAGTAGTCCATACGGGAGGTAACTAGGGCATGAGTGACCATGCGCAAGGCGTCCCAATCCAGAAAGGGACACAACTGGCGGATCAGGCGAACCTGATAAAAGGCACCTGGCCACGGCTGTCAAATGATCTTCTAAAGATAGCCGTGAATCCAGGAGGACACCCAAGTTGCGGGCCCTCTCTGTGGGGAGCAAGATCTCATCCCCTATTGTCAGTGATGGTACCAGCTGACTATACCGGGACGCCGGAAGCCACAGCCACTCGGTCTTGGAGGGGTTGAGTCTGAGCTTGTTTCTCCCCATCCAGATCCGCACGGCCTCCAGGCAACGGGACATCACAGCAAGGGCATCATTGAATTAAAGCCATTGTATGGGTGTGTGCATGCACATTCACTCATATATATGTGCCTGTGAGTTAAACATGCTAACTTTTAAATTATAAACTTTAAAAAAAGAATATATACATATAAATCATAATTTTAAACCTTTTCTCAGAGACTGCCAAAATGTCTCCCAAAGATGATTTTTACAATGTTATTCCATTAGTGACTCTGGAGTTGCATCCTGCAACTTCAAAATCACGGATGTCTTTCAATGCATAGACCTCCAATTACACTGTAAAATTTCAGAGATGAGGTTTCCAAAATAAAGTGTGGTTTTCCATCATTTGCGCTAAAAATGCACAAAACCCATTGGCTTTAAAATAGTTATAAAAATAAAGAAAAATCTATCTGCTCACATCCCCAAATGGGGGAAAAAATAGACAATCTAATTCTCACTTGGAGATACAGTGTTTCACCTTGTATGTGCCATTGTTTAGCCCTCTGCAATCAGTTCAAATAGTAGTACAGTTACAGCCAACTGTTAAAACCTTCTCAACAAATAGTTAATAGGCATCCAGTGAAATCAAAATTAGAGATCCTCAAGGATTTTGTTCAAACCATATTTTTAAATAAATCAACTTGAGATGCACATCCTTGACTGATAAGAAAATAAAATAATTTAAAGTTAATTATTTTGTTTTTCTAATTTTCTAATACTTTTCTTGGTTCAAGAAACCAATTTGTAATATGTTATAGGATATGATTTAATTTCTACTTCGCTTTTACAAAAGTATACAGTAATAGGCACATCAGTTGCTGTTCATTCATGCTTTTCTAAGAGAGGTGTGTTCCCATAGTGTTTTTACTTGTAATGCTTCTGCACTGAAAGGATGAAGAAAGAAGAAGATGGTTTGACTATACATGGAGTATCAGAAAAAGATCAAGGATATTATACCTGTGTGGCTAGCACTGAACTAGACAAGGATACTGCCAGAGCCCATCTCACTGTACTTGGTAAATCTTCCTTTCAAATTTCTTGGTGCATTCTAAGTATCATAGAGAACTTATTTAGGCAAAAGTTATGACTTTTTTCTCTGGATTATAGAAGATGGAATAGAAACAATCTTAATTCTTTAAAAATATAATATTCTATTAACCATGTTCAACTGGCTGACTTATTTTCAATATTTACTGCTTTAAAATAATCCTGCTTGTACACAATAATTATGAGTCCTAATGGTGAAAAACAAAGATGTGTCTCTCAAAGCTGATCAAACACAGTAGTTCCTTTATATTTCAGTCTTCTCTGTAAGGTAGTGAAGAGATGCAAAAAATAATTTAAATACCAGTATGTTTAGGAGTCTCTTCAAAGTACTAGTTTGATTTAAAACTTGATTTAAAATATGGGTTAGTCATCCTTTCCCCTTTGTATCAGTTTTTTTTGTACAACTCTTTGTCTTTGTACAAGGGTTTGGAGGTGTGCATGCACATTTATTTGACATGTACCCTTTTATCTAAACTGACTGATACCAAAGGAATACATATACTTCATCTCTCTCATCCTTATCCCTTTCAACAATTCAGCGCATATTGCTAAGTTCTCACTCTCATTATCAGAAGGATGTAAGCTATATTATTCCCACCAGCCAGATGACCAGATGATCTGTTACTGGTTAGAGGCCAGGTTGCTTGGTTTTTTGCCACAGGAAACCCACCATCTGTTTTCTGTCAACCAAATGAATGAACTTTGATTGCAGCTTGTTCACCCACAGTTTAAAACCTATACTACAACCCTTCAATTATGTATGTTTAACTATTGACCTTAACTCTCTAAACAGCTAATATCTTACTTTGCAGCTCCTTCTTCTGTTAACCGTATGACCCCACCCCCAGGTAATCAGTACTAATCCATAAATCTCTTTGTATTATTTTTCTTTTGTTGCTGCTTAGTCATTGCAATAACTTTAATTTAATAACTGAAAGTATAACTTGGGTTGGGCTATTCATCCCTCAGCAGTAGTCATACCTGCCGTAAATGGAAAGAGGTCTTGAATTCTGTTGTACAGCTTGTTGCATAGAGTGTAAAAGTAAATGAATCTACTACTAGGAGTCATTAAACTACAGCTTAGTTTAGGCTACTAGGATGAATGCACAATTCTGATATTGACAATGATTTTCCTGTATTCCCTGCATGAATGTTTGCATTTACTTTAAGTTTCCTTGTTGGTAGCATGGAGATGACAAATATTTATCATCCTTTTCAATCCATAGATTTTGCTGGATCTCCAAAGCTTTCTTTCCCAAATGTGGAACTGTAATGCCAAATGCAGGTGTGGGGGGATGTTTCTCACAATTGTTCCAGCATGAAGAATTTGCCTGCTTTCCATGCTAGAGTTGGATTCAGAAAGGGCTATTAGTGGCATTTTTAGAATCTGCAAAACATTTTCAAATTCAGACTATTTTGTAGTTGGAACATGTCACATTTTGAAAGTTTCAAATTTTGAGCCACACTTACTCAGATTCAAAACACCAAGTATTTCAAATTCAAAAACATTTCCAACATGCTTAAAACATCCCATTTGGGATGAAAAATAAAAGGGGATGTTTTAAATTTGAAACAGTTTTAATTCAAAATGTTTTCTACCTCCCTATACAGTTGATAAAGCGAAATGCAACACATCCATATGGGCAGACCACAAATGATGCTGGAATAGTATAGTGCTTTTTACAATTTTCTTCTGTACTTCCATGAATCAGAGTAACAATCCCTAAGTATTCTTACCTATTATTTTTCCAAAATCTAAAATTCTCTCTAAACAATTGTTTCTAAAATCCTTGCTCTGATGGTAGACAGCCTTCAGCCTCATTTATCCATGCCAGAGAATGATATAAATTTTGAAACGAAGAATGGATTGTAGTATTTCAAGGTTGCCAGGTGGATGCCATTTTGCACTACTCCCCTATAAAATTCTCCCTGCAAAGAAAAAAAAGTAGCATATCCTGGAGAATTGTCTACTCAGACTACTTTGTGTGTGAGAGAGAATTCTATACTTTAATAATTCAGTATTAGTAGTACCACTTGTTTTAATATCCAGTTCCCATCCTTTTCTGTGACAAGTTAGACTTCACCTTATTACCATGTACAACATAGAGACGTGAACCTTAATGGAAAGCCTAAAAGGATTGGGACCTTCACTACTCATTAGAAAAACCTATATTTTGTATATTGTTTTGCTGGTAGCACGTCCGGAACGTCCCCGTGACCTTGAACTAACAGACCTGGCTGAAAGGAGTGTGCGGTTAACTTGGATTCCTGGTGATGACAATAACAGTCCAATCACAGGTATGTGAAATGATACCATTCATGCTTTGTTCATTGTTTGTATTTCAAGATAAGCCTACTTACCAGTAACTACATCACAAATTAAGGGATCCCACATTTCTGTCTTCTAGATTATATTGTGGAATTTGAGGAGGATAAATTCCAACCTGGAACTTGGCATAACCATTCCCGTTACCCAGGAAATGTGAACTCCGCCATCTTGCGCCTTGCACCATATGTCAACTATCAGTTCCGAGTAATAGCTGTGAATGATGTGGGAAGCAGTTATCCCAGTCTGCCTTCTGAACGATACCATACAAATGGAGCACGTAAGTGCTAACTGGCTTGAATTCATGTGTACCCTTAAAATGAAAAGAAAGCTTGAAAAAAATCTGCAATGACAATGCAGACACAAACATGGACAGATGCCGCAAGTGGCAAATACTCCTATTCCATTTTTACATGTACATGGAAGACCTTTTGGTTGTATAACTGAAAACTAATGTATGAAATTGTTCTGACAGATTCAGCAGTCTACCAAGTATCTTCATGCTGATCAGTTTTCAGATTATAATATCATCAAGTGCACACTTGGAATTTGAGATTTAGTATTTGAAACAATAAAATATTCCAATTCTCAAATAATACAGATAGATTTTCCTTGTCAAACTGGCCCTATTTTGTACTGTACTCCATTTTCAAATTATTAAATACCTGGAGATAATGACTATCAGCACTGTAGTAGCAGATATGGTTGCCTAACATATTCTTTTATTGAAATCAACTTATAATGTCTAATTGACTGGCTTCTGGATTTTATGTGTAATTAAAAATATGTGGGTCTCGTAAATGTATCAGCATTGTATTCCAGATTTTCTGACTATAAACAATGGGATATTGCTTAAAAAGATAGAGGCAAATATTATTGCTCAGTATTTACCTTTATTTCAGGCCCTGAATTTAACCCTTCAGGAGTTAAAGGATCAGGAACAGCAAAAAATAATATGGTTATATCATGGATGGTGAGTTATCCTGAGAGAAGTTATTTGTTTATAACATATACATTTATACTGTATGTTATCCTCAGTCCATGGTTTTTTCTACAAAGTGTGGCATTAGAACATATTACAAAAAATAATGGCACAAAGGAGCATCAAAATATATTGTTCTAGGCTTTATATGCTTTACAACATAGACTTAACTCCTGGAGGTGAAAATAGTCACAGCTGGAAAAGATTCTGAAACAGCTGGATATTTTTTTCTTCTTCTAGCACCATAGCCCTGTTGTAAATTCTGACTATTGATCATTAATGTGGCTATTGAATTCTTCATTTGCTGCTGCTATTTGTTGTCTTTCCACAATGACTCTAAATAATGTCCAACAGATTTATAATCTTAAAACTAACAGTGTGGTATTGAATATTAAAGCATTATAAAAGATTCATATCACTACTAAAACATGAAAGGAAAAATAAAAGACAAGCCTTAATCTGTATCTAAATTAATAAAGAAACAATTTTTCTTTGAATATGCTCTTTTTAATACTTTATTTTATATGTAACTTTCTAACTTTTTATATGTGAAGCCTTTTAATCCAATATTTGAGCCAATATATATTTTGAGACAAACATTTGCAGCAGTGGTGTAATGTAAATTTTGTTACTACCGGTTCTGAGGGCGTGGCTTGGTGGGAGGGGTAATATGACTGAGTGGGCGTGGCCAACTTTTTTTTTTTTACTTTTAAAACCATTTTTCTACAACCTTTTCGGCTGAAGAGGTTGTTAAAAAAATGCTTTTAAAGCCTCTAACGATCGCAGCTGACTTGTCTGATTGGCAGAGGCTTTTTCTTTTCTTTTTTTTTTTAAGCCTCTGATGATTGCAGCTGACTTGTCTGATTGGCAGAGGCTTTGTTTTTACTTTTAAAAGCATTTTTTCTATAACCTCTTCGGCCGAAGAGGTTGTAGAAAAAATGCTTCTAAAAATTAAAAAAAAGCCTCTGATCATTGCGCAGCTCAGCTGGGCAATGGGGGGGGCAAGGATTTTTGCTACCGGTTCTCCGAACCACCCGCCTCCATCGCTACCAGATCGGGTGATCCGGTCCAAATCGGGAGCATTTCACTCCTGATTTGTAGGTTATGTCACTTATGTTCCTGCCTGTAGTCCACTGAATTCCAATTTGGCAAATCAGCCAAATTTCTTTTGCATTCCAATTGAACCTGTTTGTTTTTAGATCTCTTGTGGTGCTGAATCTCCAACATAGATAACACCTTAGAAGAGATACAGTATATAGGGTTAACTCCTGATATTCTAAGTCATAATTGTCTTCTTTCTTTTGTTCTCTAGCCATTAAATGCAACTCAAGTGTATGGCCCCAATCTTAAATACATCGTGAAGTGGAGAAGAAGGGACACACGGGAGAGTTGGAACAACCGAACTGTAAAGGGTGATGTCAGTCAGTATACCGTCGCACCAACCCCCATCTATACACCGTATGAGATCAAAGTACAAGCTTTAAATGATTATGGGATTGCCATGGAGCCAGAGACCGTAATTGGTTACTCAGGGGAAGATTGTGAGTATTCTCATAGTCCGAGAAAGTTGGAAATAGAGAAGGCAGATTGCATTTACTTCTTACTTGTTGGTGATAACTGGCAACCTTTTAATACTAGATCTGTCATGACCAACATTTTGCCAAAATGGGTATTTAAGTGCAGCAATAGACATTATTTTGCTCAGAATGAAATGAAAATGTTCAAAATATCTTGAATGCCTTGTCTTTTCACAAACCACTGGCATCAATACCCATGCATTCACTGTTCTTGGAAATTCTTTTTTCTGACACATCTGATTTTTACAAACATTAAGAACTTTTCTTTGCATTTAAATATACTCAGTGCAACTGAGTCCCTCGGGAGAAGGGCAGTATAAAAATTTAAATAATAAATAATAATAATAAACTGACTGAAATATGCCTACAATAAATAATTCAGAAAATAAGCTATCCCAACATTGTGTGGTTAAATAGTATTCAGGCTATGGAAATGAAACTGAAACTCAAATATTAATTGAAGTACTTTTGGGTTTGTATCCAACTTTGGCATCTGCCAATAAAAGAAGTACTTCATTTTCTATTTTCCAAAATTGTTTTGGCAATTCAGTGAATCCTTCAGAGAAATCACAGGATTTTCGGGCAAAGAAGGAAAAAAGAAAATCTCAATATGCAAGCAGAAGTCTATTTGCATAACATGGCATATAACATGTAATTTGGACAACTAAGGTAAGTTGGCAGGAAAATAATAGTATAATAGGTACAGATAAAAGAGGTGATAATAAATGAACTGATTTTGTAAATAGAGATAAGATGCTGTAGTATCTAAAGTGTTGGATTCATATAGTAAGGATTCGGACTTAGTACTAATTCAACTATGTCTCTTGTCTTGGATAATTTATGTTTTCACCTAAATGTTTTGGAGGAATGTATTCTCTTTAATAGGTCCTAAACAGTGGCTCTATAATATTTAAAAACGGTCATAAACTTTCTGGAATGCAAAAGCAAGTGTCGGTTTACGTACATTATAGATAATGGGTTGGGCAGGTGGGTGTGATACCTGTTTCTAATTTCTCTTAACTCTCTTCCTTCTAAAAATGATCAGAACAGTTAACTAAACAATAATTGGGCAGCTGCATTCAAAGTTAGCCCTACTTAGAGTATGATCTAGTAATCCAGTTATGAAATTATCAAGGAATTACTATTGAAGCTACAACATCTCTCTTCAGATATAGATGTAATTCCACACCAACTAAAGCTGGGGGGAAATCCCTCTTGCCCACAAAGACCACCCAAATCTTATTCACTATACTGCATTTTTGGAGGGAGCATGGTTCATCAAGGTCAGGCTCCTTCTTATTTTAGGCCTAAAACCACCTGTCCATAATCTCTCTCTCTTTTTTTAAATCTAAGCCTCAGCTTCTTGACCTTGGGTAGATCTAGATAGTTAAAGGATCTCTACCATCAGCACTTATCTAAGGAAGGACTGTTTGAAACTGAAGGTTCATTGTCCAAAACCTTATACTCTGTGTCATAACTAGATGTGGATTAAAGAGGACTAATTCTGGAATAAAATCAATTGGTCATTGAGTACCTATTGCAGGGGTGAAATGCTCCGAATCGGTAGCAATGGCGGCCGGTGATTTGGAGAACCAGTAGCGATGGCAGTGCGAGGCCCAGTCATCATTACTTCCTGGTTTTAACCAGGAAGTAATCTGTTTTTTACCCTCTGCACATGCACAGAAGGGTTTGCGCATGCTCAGAGGGTCCCCGTGCATGCAGCACATGCACTTCCGAACCGGTTGGGAAGGTAAGTAGATTTCACCCCTGATGTATTGCAATAAGATTCTTAAATACTTTGACATACTAAGATGCTTGCTGGGCTTATGGTAGATCAACCAGTCTGCATTTATGAGAACAGTTTTAGTTACTGTAGCCTGTGAACAAGAAGCTTGTGGGGGCCAACTGTCTTGACTCTAGCCCATCATGACTATTGCAAGTGGCAGAGTCTCTCAGTGGGTCCCGAGAGTGCTCCATGGCTCTTTCTAATACACATTTGGAAAGAAAAAAATACAAGGAAGAAGAGGAGGTTGGTGGAATAATTGTTGCTGTAAAGCTCCACTTCCATGTTTCATAGAACCCATTATCACCATCCATTATCAAATGTGGGACAATATGAATAAGCACTATTGTTTCAGGACCATAGACAGCACAGTCATAAAAGCAAAGTATCTTTTAAAGTTTTATCAGTTTACATGATTACAATGAAGTTTCTTTTGCCATAATAGATCAATCCTTCCTTCCTTCCTTCCTTCCTTCCTTCCTTCCTTCCTTCCTTCCTTCCTTCCTTCCTTTCCAGTTTCAAATATATATGTTGTATCTTTACAATTAATATAATGATCTATAATTGTGATGTAAAATCCAGGAATATGAACAAATCAATTTAATGTTTATTCATGAAAAATTTGGGATTATGAGTTAGTCTGTTGGTAAAATTACAAATAAGAAATAAGAAAAAATAAGAGAAATAAGAAATAAGAGAGAACAAGGGAAAAAATAACCAGTGAGAAAACTATTCCTGAAGATTCTTTCCCTTGGATGCAAGACATCACACACTTTTCGTTAAAAGCATTCAGCAACTGATCAGTTCGGTAGAATAAATAGCAGTGTTATTTCTTGTTTTACCTACTAAGTAACATGTGTAGAGCATGGCATAGGAAATAATACAATATGGTGTTCAGGTTGCTCTTATAGGCTTGAGTACGTAATGAATATCTCATAGCAGATTGCAAAATGAAGTACCGAAAACTGACAAAATTTAAAATATGGTGATAATTCTACCTTATAACTGTAATTCTACACATGCACATTTAGGCTATCATATTGAAAGAGTGTGAGTGTGTGTGTGTGTGTGTGTGTCTGTGTGTGAACCATGCTCTTTTTAAAAGTTCCCATCCCCATGTCTTTCTTCCCTTACAAATTGGTGGTGTTCTGTTCATCTTTATAAGGATTTTAGATGGCCGAGTGTGTTCATGTGATGCCATAAAGGGGTTTTAAAGGTTGGGGTTTCTGCTAGTAACATTAATTTTGTGAACCTGTTATAATTACTATAATAATGTGATGTCAATAGCGAATTTTAAAAAATGATGGTAGGATTAGTCCTGCCACCATACAACTGAGAATGTGAAATTACTTTCTATGTCCACGAGATGGCAGCATCGTATGTTTGACAAGATAATACAAATAACTAAGACAGTGATAAGGAACAACTTTCTGCAGCTTGAAAAAAAATAGTTTTCTTTCATATTTAATATTCTTTCAAGTATTGTTGGGTTGTTAATTTCTGCTTTACTTTATTCCTTACACTTAGATCCTAAGGCTGCCCCTACTGATATTAGGCTCAAAGTTGTAAACAGTACAGCAATCAGCCTTCAATGGAGTAAAGTGTACCCAGAAACCATCCAGGGACAGCTCAAGGAATATAGAGTGAGCAAAACCAAATCCCAATAATTTTGGTACTATTAATATGGCTAACCCTTGTCACTAATGATAACTGATGAGATTATCTGTTGCACATAGTAAAATGGAGATGACACAAATGAACTAAAAACTGCTGAAAGACATGGAGACCATTTGTAAGAAGATGGTATTTACAGCAAAGAAAACATATATCAAATTCAGATCCAAAAAATTTTTCTTCTTCTTTTAGTTCCAGAGAAATATCATTACCCAATAATAGTGCATCTTTTAGTTACAACTACCTTCCACCAAGTTTTTTGTAGATAGTCCAGGAGTGTAATTCAATCAATCAATCAGAACAGAGATGGAAGGGACCTTGGAGGTCTTCTAGCCCAACCCCCTGCTCAAGGAGGAGACCCTATACCATTTCAGATGAGTGACTGTCCAGTCTCTTCTTAAAATCCTCTCAGAATTCACAATTATTTTGGCTGAGAAATCCAGAAATTGTAGCCCCAAACGTTGGAGAAGAGTACTGTACATATGCACTAATTATACTTAAGGCAGATGTAAGTTTTGACTGCAAATATGGTATATTAGAACAATATTCTTCTTGGGCTCAGTGCTGAATGTTAGGGAGAGACAGGTTTCAAGACTTGACAGTCAAATTAATTTTAGTCTTTGTCAGGAAGAGGGCGGGGGTGATTTAGCAGTGCTCATTTTAATATTTTGGTGAATTTTTGCAGTCTTACCTCATTCAGCATGATACATTTTAATTCAGCTTTGGACTTATAGGATTGGGTGTTTTTTTGCTTCAAAGCTTCATACTCTCATTTTTTCCAAAGTTTAGTATAATTTTTCTTTATAAACTGTTACATTTTTAAAATCTTATTTTCATGCAAATACTACTGTAGTATTTCAAAATGTTTTTTCTGCCATCTGAAGGCAAAATTATACATTCAAAAAGTAAAGAATTAATGAAACTTGGTACGAAACGTCATAATTTAGCCAAACATATCCATACTCCATGCTGTATCATCTATGTAACAGTAGTTTAAACCATCTGATCATTGATTGGTTTGGAAAAAAGGGGCAGTTCAGAGTAGCTGCTATGCTGTACACTTCTTCAGCTGGTAATCTAGAACTGGCTTCTTTCTTCATTCTGAATTTTCTGAATTTGTTCTTGTGAATAAGAAAAGCAGCTTCCCGGATGGTTTCCCAACTTTTGTGTCATCCCTCATGTGCATTTGGCATGTTTTATTAATCAACAAGTGAACATTCTATTTTGGCCTAATCAGAATTTAATAAATGTGCTAATTGAATAATGATCTCCCAAAACAATAGCAAATGGATTTTATCCTGATGATTCTGTTTAAAACCTTTTAAAAATCAGCTTTTGTCAAATTAACAAAAAACAACGACAAATAAAAAACCAATGTTAAAAGCCCTGTTGGAACTGTGGCGACGGCATAGTCTTACCTAGCTTTCTCTTACCCTGGTTCCTCAGATGGATTGGGAGTTTAGCTTCCAGAATTCCCAGACATCAAAGCCAGTTTCTTAAAACACCAGGTGAGAGAAATCCATTCTCGTACATTTTCCAATCTGAACACTTTCTTTCACAGGATATTCTTTTTGCATCTTTTTCTTCCCATACCATTTATATCTCAAAATTAATGGACTCTTACTGGCCACAAGTGAACTTGGACAGACAACATTTTGTGCCAAATTATGAAGTCATCAGTGAGAGGAAGGAAGAATGAACATTGTGAAGGCTGAAATCCTGGTCTAGTTTTAGAGGCAGGGGAAAGAGGTTGTTGTTAATCTTGTAGCGTGACTTTATGTTGTCAGTCTCCTTCCTTGTGGAATGACTTTTGCGCTTGAGCTAATTCTTGTGTGAAAGCTGAAAATGCGCAGGTATACTTTTAATAACGCCAAAACAAGAGAAGCTTTACTTGCCTTACCTGTTTCTTGAAGGCTTATTACTGGAGAGAAAGTAGTTTGCTGAAGAATCTATGGGTCTCTAAGAAAAAGCAGTCTATGGGTTTTATTGGAGACCGGACACGGGGCATAGTGTCCCGGCTGTTTCCTTACAGCAACTACAAATTGGAAATGGTTGTAGTCAACGGGAGAGGAGATGGGCCTCGGAGTGAAATTCTGGAATTCACATCACCTGAAGGAGGTAGGTTCCTCCCTAATATTTACACAGCTTTGAAGAATCTATCATTTTCGTGTGTGAAACATGAAGATAAGGAGGAATTTCTGCTAGTCCAATATTTTGTTAGTGGAATAAGTAATAGGTACTTTTAGTCAAGAAATCCATCTGGTTATATCTCTTGAAAAGTGAAATCTTAGGATAAAATAACATCTGTTTTTTTCAGTGGAATAAGGATTATTGCAGAACAGATTCTGCCTCATCTTTACTGTCCTCTCAGGCCTACAAAATGTAAGCTTGGAAACAAAGAAAAAGAGAAGAAGTTGATGTCAGATAGAATTATTATTAAATTTATATGTTACCCCTTTTATCAATAAGGCGACTTTGGACAGCAGTTCCTCTCCAGAGCTCTTTGAATTTGATTACTAGACAAGTAATCCATTACTCTGAAGCCTGGTTTATGTTCAGTAATAAACAATTTAATGCATCAGCTAGAAGACTAAGCTAAAGCTGCTATTGTATGGTCGTATATTCTTATGATACGATGTGACACTCTTCATTAGGGATCAGCAGAGATTCTCCATCTGGTTCAGGGGACTGTTGCAAAATTCGAGAAGTGGCTCAGCCCATGTTGGATTTTTCCAGAAGCTGCCCATTCTGACTCACAGATCAATATGGAGTGAAAATTGGAAAAGGACACTTCCCCCATAAAGAAAAACATAAACAGCTCTAACTAGTTTTCAGTTGAAAGGGGTAGGATTTGTAGGACAACCACAGATTTCTAATTAAATGTACAATTTTAATAGAAATTAGTAGTTTGGAAAATGTACAGCAACTTTAGCAATTTTTATGCTGAATATTTGTGCCTAACTTTAGGCAAATAGGTTGTAGAAATGAAAGGGTTGTTGAATAATAATGCTTCTTCCTGAATATGGTGAAGCTTACTCTGTGAACAGAGACAGATTTATATGGAATTTACCTATAGACTTTCTCATTAAATAAATCAGTTACTAGGCTGTGCAAGCTCAGAAAAGACCATCACACAACTAATCAGGACAAGAGAATAATGCTTATATAGAGAGCTATGTTATGAAACAAACTAATGGACAATCTTTCCCAGAATGTCTCCTGTATCACTTAAAAGATCAACACGGTTACCCTAAGAGCGAGGATCAGTCTCACTGAAGGGAGACCTGGTAGAGAATCAAAAAGATTACCTTGTGAGAATTAGACAAAAATCATTATATAAGCAGAGTCCTAGGAAATAAGATGATAATGGAAGAGACTTAGGAAGGTTCCTCTCTGATTCCTTGGAGTATAGGAAGGGAACAGTAAAGCACAATTAGCCTACAACATTCTGTTATTATAATCTATCTCAGTGTATAGTTCTAGTCTTCCTGTGGAATCTGTTTCCTACTTTGGCCTACCCAGAGGGCTAACATCAATCTTGCCAAGTCTTTTCAGCTGTGCTCAGTGACAGCAGTCTCTTTCTAACGTGTCCCGTTGCTTCATTTTGGCATCATCATGAATGGCTTTTCAAAGTGGTTAGCTTGAGTTCATCAGGCATGTCATGAATAAAAAGTGACCTTTATTGCTCAGTATTGAGCATCATAATTCCTATTCTGGTAGGTTTTTATGTTCATCTTAAGAAACAGAGTTGGCCTCATTATAGAAAGGATAAATCTTCAGCTTAAATAGACGGATGTGATAAAAGCTGCTTATACCCAACTAATGGGAGATAAGAATTTTGGCTTTTGAGCTCAACATAATTTATAGCTGACAATTTCATCCTCATTACTATTTAGGCCATTAGCACATCATACACTGATATTACATTCACTGCATGGTTATACATGAATGCAAAAATAAAACAATAGCCTTGTCCTTTGCAGAATATCCAGACTGTATTCATTAAAACCACATGGAGACTCTGATGTGGTTTTAATAAGTTCCATTTATGCCATCTATATCAAATATTCCTATGTGCACCGCCTGCATTTTAGATTTTGTTACCTGATATATTTTTTTCCTCCCTTCTCTTTCCAAAACTATACTTCACTAAAGTACCCAGTGCCCCAAGATATTTCCGAATTCGTCAGCCAAACTTGGAAACCGTCACCTTGGAATGGGAACATCCTGAACATCCCAATGGCATTCTTATTGGATACACTCTTAGATACCAAGCCTGTATGTCCCATGCTCATTTTTCTGGTTGTTGTTTTGCTTTTATCATTTTATTAATCAGTCTTTCGGGGTTGAATCCTAATCCAATAGTATTCTGTAGGAGTCATTGTGAGGAAACATTTCTCTGTGGAATGTTTTTTAACTTGCAATTTTCAATTCTTGTTAAAAGTTGCTTACTTAAAAGATATCTTCAAAAATGTGTTTCATTTGTCTTTCAAAACATGTGACTTCCTAAAACATCTTGCTCCTGTTAGGAGCAAATTTCATATTTGTCCAAAGAATTCTTTATACATTAACAAATCCCTTGAAGATTCTTATATATCTAATATAAGCTTCTGGCATAATAGTTATTTAGTTTTTTTCACATTTTCCAGTAGTTTTTTATTATTATTATTTTAAATTACTTTCATCTGCATTATCTTAACAAAAGTCAGGGCCTCTGTTGGGTAGCTATCTTAGGATATGAGTTGGTCAAATGTGTAGGTGAGCATGTTTCTGAAAACAAGTCTGAAGCATACACAGCCTACCTCTCTCTTCAGTTAACGGATCCAAAACTGGCAGAACAATGGTAGAGGCCTTCTCTCCTAATCAGACAAAGTTTTTACTTCAGAGGACGGATCCTATCTCACGCTACAGGTTCAATCTGCGTGGCAGGACACAGATTGGAGAAGGTGAACCTGCCACCGGGGAATCTCCAATTCCACTGAATGAAGGTAAGTAATATGAATGCAGATGCAGCTCTTCAGTGTGAGAGATGTGGAGCTGGAGGTGTGAGTGGTGTTGAAAGCTTTTTGTAATATATAGGTGGCAGTTGATAGATACATTGATATGTGAAGTTTGGTCCTGGTATGTTGTGGGCATAAATCTTGCCCAACCATTTCCTTAGTTTCTGAAATAAATGCACGTTACTGAATAAATGCTTGAGAGAACAAATTATGAAGTTTTCAAGACACTTAAATGAGCATTTTAAATAATGCAACCAATAAGATAAGGAGTAGGAGACCAGGATTGTGCTGATTAGTTCCCCCCACTTAACACAAGGAGTAAATGCAACAATGCAGAGAACAGGCCTAACTCCATACACTGTTCACTGATATGATTTACAATGACTAAATAGAACTTTGACTACTGTCTATAATAGTTATGGCCATGACTGAGATGTTAAGAGGCAGGAAATGCAAGTGCTTGATGTTTCCTTTCTTTTGCATTTGAATCTTTTATGAAATAAAATACATGTTGGTTACGGAATTCACAATAGAGTTAATAATATTCCATAGACTCTGTTTGCCGCTGTATTGTTGTTATTGCTCTGACTTTAAAAGACTCAATGTACAGTTGAAGATTTCAAGTGATTGCCTACTACTGTTCCTTGGTGAAATGATTGGCAGAAGTCATCTTTCCTGCTGCAATAAAATAGGCTTTTGTAAAATAGGTTTAAGTGACCTTGAGTTTCCAAAGAATAGCTCAATAAATCCTAAAGGGTCTCTATCTAAATCCTTTCAGTTTTATACTATGTTCAGCTTTTAACTCTTTCCCAGTGCAAGGCCAGGAGTGTAACATTTGAATAGCCTTTGTTTTTCATCACTTGTGTTTAAACAAAGTTAATATAGTTCGTAGCTAATTTTTATATAGAAACATAGACCAACATATTGACATGTCTATTATGTTTTACTGATATTAAATTTTGCATTTATACATAAGGAGGGTGTATTGTTTTAATACTCAAAATAAGTGAGTTGCAAAAGAAAGCAGTTCAAATAATAAAATAATCCTTTGAGGTTCTTAAAAATGGACAATTGTGATCCTACAATATTTGCTTAAAAGGTTGTTTTGAGTTGTACTCCTTATTTTAGACAATATCACTCATTTTCTGACTTCATTTTTTTCAATATTCATTTATGACATGATGCTATCAAATATTAACACATTTTAAAACATACCAACATTTCACTATATATATTTTTGGTATTATATATATCATTTTACTAGACGTCTTCATTTATGGCAATTTGTTATCCCTTCAATATGATGAAAGTATTCTTCCTTGAGGATTGCTTGATACTTATCATTTTTCTTTTGTCATAATCATAATCATTTATATTTTAGGTAATATTTTATGTTGCTATTTTTCAAATGGATATTCATTTTATAATTGTTATCTAACCAGTCCCTAGTATTCTGCCTCTTATACTTTGCTTTGGATGTGATTAGCTGTGGTCTTCATCTTTGATTGATAACGTTTACAGTGTTGTGTGGCAAATCCTTTTGTAAGCTAAAAGTGTAAGTTACTCTTCACACCTAATGGGTTGGGGAGGGTGAGGAGAGTATCTGAGATGATGGTGCATGGTAGTGAAGGAACATCTGCAAAAAATATCTAGCCAGAATTTTCTGACTGAAGGGCTTTGGGAGAACTAGAAGCTACAAAACAAGGGAGACTCGTTCAGACAACAGTTGCTCCACTCTACTTTATGAAATCCTTGGTTAGAGAAGCAAGGCACCACAAGCTCTGCTTCCATCTGAAATAGATCCAGAGTTTTTGAACCTTATAATATTGTGACAGTAATAACAAGCAAGCATCTGGATTGTATATGTTGCTATGAGAAAGACAATCCAACCTAAACAGTTTATGCAACAAATCTGATAATAAAATTCTTTCCCCCCCTTAGAATCATATTTTAAGATTTGATTTGAAAGGAATCTTGGAGATCACCTAGTGTGATCCTTGCCCAGTGCAAGAATCTACTACTATTATATTCCCAATGGATTACCATCTAGCCCAGTGATGACAAACCTTTTCGGCACCAAGTACCAAAAAGGGAGTGCGCATGTGTGTGCTTATCTGGGCCGCAACCCGGAAGAGGAGCTACCCAGGGTGCATGTGCGCACCCGCATGCAGGCTGGCCAGCTAGCCTTCCGGGTTTCTGGCGTATATGCTCACGCAACATTCAGCTGGCCGGTGCACATGATCATGCAGGAAAATGGAAAAGCATCTCTCTCTCTCTCTCTCTCTCTCTCTCTCTCTCTCTCTCTCTCTCTCTCTCACACACACACACACACACACACACACACACACACACACACATATATATATATAAAACAGACCCCCTCCATAACAGACAAACTAAGAATGCATTATTGCCCTTTCTCAGCACCCTTGTAGTCAACAGATGACCCTCAGGAGGAAAAAGTCACAACTTCTAGATTCATGGCAGAATAAAACACTCTTTGTGAAAAAATTGTCAAACTAAGTGAAAGTTCAACAGCCCTCAGGAAAGTGAAAACAAAACAAAGCTTGCTCTTAACATTCTTCATTTTTCCAGGAAGATCTCAATTTCTGTTCAGGCCTGTGCTTTATATAATTAATTGTTGCTTTTTATTTTCCCACTTGTAAAATGTGGGAAAAATCGTTCTTTTGAATAGACATTTGATGCTGTCATTTGATACACTAAACTTGGATTTTTCTTAAAAATTAAAGATCGAGAGATGATAAAAATCCAAGAATTTCATTACTGTATTAGAATTAGTATTAAAATACTAATCTGTTTTTTTTAAAAAAAGCTTTAATCTTGAATCTGTTAGACATTGATAGCTATTGTATTGAGAACTTCATCAGTAATCTGAATATGTCTGTCAGCCATAACATACAACCATTGCAAGTGTGTTTGTAATTATTTCTGGAGTCTGAAATAGTTTGAGATTATAGGTATATCAGCTGCAGTTAAATATAACAAACCACAGTCTATCAGTACAAAAAGGAACTGAAGCAATTTTCTCTGTCTCACGTACACTGTACCTTCCTTTGTCTTCATGTATATAAAAGGGAAATTTTCCAAGAAAACATTGTGTACCAGTTATGACTATACTTTAAAACTGAATCTGGATTCAAACCCAGTGTGATTCTAGTTGAGGATCCTATTTTGATACAACATTTTGACTTTAATATATCTTGTTTGCTACATGTGGTCAAAAACAGAAATGGTTTGCCAAAAATCAGAAGCATGGGCAGATGTATGCCATTCGCCTTGGATTTGTAGCTTTCTTCATTCCAGCAATTTCTGATGTAGTGTAAATAAACAACATGTTGTCCTGAAACTCATCTGCAGTGATGATGTAGCTGCTATGTGCTATAGTTACAGTGTACATGCTGATGCTAAAGAAAAAACATTGTGCATTTGTTCATATTGCTTTCTGAGTACTGCAGACACCTAACGAAAAGCCATACTACATTATCAGTTGAATGCATTGTGAGTATATATAGAACTGTGGAGTGTTACAATTGGAATTCAATAAGGATTCAATAACTGTTGCAATTACTTTATGGATTGAGAGCCTTAATAGGCTTTCAAAGGAATCTCACAAGTGAGGTTTTTTTTCAGGCTGTCTAAATAAAAGCAGATTCCTCAGATTATTAATAAATGATCTCTATAGACCATGGCCAATATATGGCTAAGCATTTGGAGTTGTCTGAAATGAAACAAACCTTGCCATTTTCTTTTCTACTACAAATTTAAGAGACGTTGGGATAATGGATGGGTGGGTGGGTGGATGGGTGGGTGGATGGGTGGGTGGATGGATGATAAAAGAACCACGGCTTCCATTTTGCATATATGTTATTTGAGCCAGGGTATTACAATGAAAAACACTGACTTGTGGTTATTTGCAAGCTATAGTGTCTCATCCATCATAAACATAGAAATGGTAATGAGCTTGTAATAAATTGCACTTGAGTAGAATTTCTCCTAACCCTCAAGAAAAATAAATCAAAGCCAACAGTATGTAGTCTTGTTGAATTAAATCCATAAACAAATCCCTAGATTAAAAAAAATAAAGGAATTGAATCTACCACAACTTCTTGTACTGGCTTGAATGGTCATTACAGTATTATTGATTGGAAATGATGGGCTAAAATATTTTCTTTTTCTTACAGCCTCAGGCTGCCATGTTTGTAGGTTGTATTTATGTAGTGGTTTTATATATTTCTGTGTTCTCTCTTTCCTTTCTCTCCTCATGTTTCCCTTCCTTGTATTTGATGCTACACTTCTGAAGTTCTTCCAACCTCAGGTATTGTATCTACTGGCAGCATAAAAAGGCATGGGGGCGTGTGACTCAGGCTTGGCTCTTGGAACGCATGCACTATGTTAACCTTTTCAATGGTATGAGGGATAAGATCAGAAAAGCACTGTCAGATGAGTTAGCCAATAGCTCCTCTTTCTGGGCTTAGAAGACCATTGAAAGGGTTGACTATTAAATTTCAGTTGCTGCTGAGCATGTATGCATGATAGGCTTTGGCTGATGCATTTTACTTATCTATTTGATTTTTGCTGCTATTGCTGCTTAACATAGTAATGCAGAGAAGTCACATCTGGTTCAGCACCGTGGGAAGAATGGAAGGAGAATGGATGGATGACTGGTAAATGAAAAATCCTGAGTCCTCAGTGTGCTCTCAGTCTTCAGAGCACTATAAAGGAGGAATATATCACATAAGGCCTCTAGGCCACTTTGTTCCAGTCTTCAGAAAACAAGGAGTTTTCTATAGGAGAGTTGATCCACAGCTTGGAGGAACACTTCAGAAAGGACAAAAATAGCATTTAATTTAATATAAATTGATGTTTAATTAAAATATAGCATACTTTAAATGATTTGTGACTGCTGCCCATATGTTTAATAGTTTTCCTTTTTTTTTTTAACATAAAAATGCAACTTTAAACATGTCAAGGACTTTGTGGAGCTGCATGGAGTTCAGGACATGTACTTGTATATCTCTATTCTAGACATGTTACAAACTTGAAAACAATTTTCTAAAAAGGAAAGGTACCCTCCTGGCGTATTTTTTAAAAAAAAAATTCATTGTGGCTCTGCAAGCAATATTATGAAAGGTTCTCTTTCATGAACATTGGTTCTTCTGATTATAAAATATAGTCAAACTGCTGTGCTTTTCTAATCCCACCTTTGTAGACTAGCATCAATTTTCAAAGATTGTCAGAGAGAAATTGATGCTTTTCTTGGTAGGGCATTCATATACTTGATTTCCTATCAGGGAATGAGAGATTTTTGTCTGTTCTGTCCTTATTTTAAACTAGGAATTCCATAGAGATCTGTTCATAGAGCAATATTAAAGTTAGGGTTAGGGTTAATCATTCCTTACATTTAAAGTTAAGAGAGGAAAATAAGTATTGCCCACATAAAATATTTACTGATACACCCTTCCTCAGCTTCCTTTTCATATGTTTTGAAATCTGCTGCTTTCATTCCATAATTTCTGACATAGAAATTTTCTCAGAAAAAGAAATAATTAGTTTGTTTTGGCTGAGGACTCTCTTCTGGGTCAATTACACTGCAGAATATTGGAAAAAAATAAAATGGGTTTTGAAGTTCTTGTTTTTTCTTCCATTCAATTGAAAGTGCAATTCTTGAGGGTTGCTTAGACAAGCCCCTGAACTTTTCTTGGGAAGGTTTTTCAGAAGTGGTTTGCCTTTCTTTCTAGGGCTGAGATACAGTGACTGGGTGGTGACACCAGCTGACTTTGTACTAGAACTAGTACAAAGGCAGGACTAGAACTCATTGATCTCCTATCAAGGCTGATGGCTTAACTACTAAACTGGCCTTCAATTTAAATATAACTTGGGCAAAAATAAAAGTATAAAAGTTAATTTCCCTTTGAACTTTCAATATTGCTTCATTCAAACAGAAAATAATTAATTATATTTTTCTATAGTTTCAATTGTATTTGCAGAAATTGTCCAGCTTCTTATATAAGCTTTTTTGGCTATTTTTTTTTTTTTTGTTGTTGGAACAATTGATTTAATTGCTATTAGTTTGCCTATCTAACTTTGTTAAATTCAGAGTCTCCTCTCCCCTTTATTGATTTTTTTTCCTGTCTCAAATACAAGGGTAACAGATTGATCTGTCTTGGGCATAAAATATTGAAAAATGTATTATTTCTATTGAAAGTTTATCATGAGTCTGCTTTTATTAGTTGGACTTGGCAAGATTGGTCCTAAATCTATTAAAAATAACCACCAAAGATATATATTATTTCATTGTATGCCAATAAGCAATACAACATTCAATCATTTTATTGACTTTGGTATTTATTTAAACTTTTTTTTTTTATTTTTTCTGTTAATTTCATCCTATTTACTCTAGGATATATCTTGCAGACCTGATGAAGTTCAGAACATCCATAAAATCCTGGGAAGCCAGGATTTTATGGCCACAAAATTGCTGAAATGCCTCCATACTCTTACCTTGTATATAAATTCAGGCAACATCTTGCCATCTAAGGAACCTTTTTCCAACCTGATATACAAATGTGCTGGACTACAATCTCCCAAATTCTATGCCAGCACAGCCAACTTGGATCTGGATGGAAATTTTATTTCTGTAACCCAAACCTTCATACAGACAACATGTTATGGAAGTCTATCCTAAGACTTAGTTCAGGTTTGCAACTGGAAAAGAGTTTGCATCTGCTGAATCAATCATAGAGTTTTGGAACTTATTATCTCATGGCCTGCTTTCTTCTTACCTTTCTACAGGGAGGCAGATGCTCTAATTTTGAGTCTGTGTTGCCTGGCAGGTGTTTTTCTTGGGAGAATGTTATGTTTAATAGCAGAGCTTCTAATTCATATCACTTATGCTGGATAACTATTTTATGATTGAACAATCCCACTATTTCTTGAATTCAACCTTTTGCTGTTTCTGACTAATTTAATGTTTTCCTTAGCTAGATTTGCTTTATCCCAGTTAGAGTTTTATGTATGCAACTAAGTTACTTTGGCTCTTTTTGGGTAGCCTTGTTTTGTCCCCAAGAAAAACTCCCAGGAGTCAAGTTCCTGTCAGTGTTTTATCTCATACATATCCCAAACCCTTTATCCAAGCTTGCTACTGTCCTAAACTCTCTTAAAGTATGCTTTAAGTAACTTCTCTCCTCCTTTCCCTAAGACTGAATCAAACTCAAGGTCAACTTGTAGCTATGAACCAAAAATTACACTTTGGTATTTTCATGGAGCCAAAATTAAAAACAAGCAATTCCACTTTATTACTTGCATTAAAAATAACTATGTAAAAAACAACCAGATTTATTGTAACTATTGAATTCAATGGACTGTAATCTCGGTGCCCTGAAGCTTCCTCAGTATCTCCTTCACATTTCTTCAGATTACAAGAAATCTCACTTCTGGCAATTTGAGCTCTCTTGGATTGCATTGCTAATTCCTCCAAATCCAGTCAGTTCCTTGGCATTACCAGTCCCAGTCTGCCTCCTTCCTAACTGGGTTATCCTTGCTTTCTTAGGTTCAGTACTCTCTCTAGCTGACATATTGGATAATTTCCTTTACAGGCTAAGCTAGTCTACCTAGTCGACCTATATCAGAAGAACACATAGAAGTGAAATACAGCTTTGTGCATTCTCCCTTTACCTTTTCCTCACAAGTAATCTCTTTGTCACTCTTGTTTTAAATTTAGAACACATACTAACTGCACTTCTGTTTTTCTTACCTCCAGGTCTTCACAACTCTGCACTTTTCACATCTCTTCCTATTCTAAATTTTGGTTTTTCTTCTCACTTCTTCGGGTAGCCTCCTTCAGAAAAATGCCCCCTAATGTCCCTCTCTTTTATCTCATCATCTTCTCTCCTTTTCTTCCCATTTACCTTCACACTCCTCTTGGTACTAATTTCAAACTCTGGGCACCCAGATTTCTAGTATTCAAATTATTGGGGTTTTTTGCTTCCTATGGTGAGCACCATTTTATACCAGCTTTATTCATTTCTACAGTTTCTCTGCAACCCCTTGAGTAACATTTAAAATCTTGAACTGTAAAAAAATGTTTACTTATCCTTTATTTCAGACTCTTCAGTTTCTTCATGATTTTTATTGCTTTCATGAAATGCATTGTCCCCTTCTCCTGCCTCTTGGTAGAAAGAGAACCGTTATTTCTTTATTCTTTTTTTCAGAAAAAAGGAATAAACTCAAATATACACACACACACACACACACACACACACACACACACACACATATACATATATACATATATACATATATACATATATACATATATACATATATACATATATACATATATACATATATATATATATATATATATATATATTCTTACTTCTTCGTAGGATTTATGTGTTTTTCCTCTAGCCAGAACTTGCTGGCTGCCAGAAAAGAAAAAAGCCCAGAATCGAGTGGATGTGATTCTTCTGAGCTAGGGCTGCAGAAAAACCTTGGTTACGTAGGAAAAACCTGGCTAGAGGAAAACACACACACACACACACACACACACACACACACACACACACACGTGTATATATAATTTAAAAAATACTTTGCAGGCAAATTAGTTTAAATGTGCTTATTTTTGCATTCAAGGGAGACTTTACACTCTGCAGAAAATAACACTTTGATTTAGATTGTATAAAAGGGTAGAGAATAGGAGGGTCAGATTTAATAATGTTAAGTAAAAACTGGAAAGTATTAAGAATTCCAGACAGTTCTGGGACACAGAATTGATAGAATAAGATAAATGTTCTTTTAAAATGCTGTTTTTAAAAATGCTGTAAAATATGTCCTTCAGGCCAACATATTTTACATAGAATAAGGTTGTATATTTAAATTATTAAAATTACAGTGATATATGAACCACTTTGTAAATATTGAGTGATCTAAAGCAGTGTTATCCCATTCAATCTCTTCTAGGTGTGGGGGATTATGACTCAGAATTGTCAGTTATTTCATATCTAGGATACCAGACTGGAAAGAATAGTCAAAATAGTTTTGCCTAATTTCAGCATTTGTGGCTTGGAGAGAAAAATGTAGCTTTGAAACACTATATTCAGATTTTTTGTTTTTATGGGTAAATATATGGCAGCTTCCAGTTTAGGCCTCAATAAGCTTTTTCCTCCTGTCAAGAATTGATTTCCCTTTTGGGTGATCTACTGGAGCCCATTTAATGGACATTGAAACAAACAGTAGGTATGATCACAGCTAAAAAGTGTTAACTTGCAGAGTTTTGAAACGGGGCTGAGGACTGCATGAAGCCCAGGAGCC